TGTAAATTATAATGTATTTAGAAAGATACTGATACTTATTCCTTCCAGATGCTGGAAGGAAGAGAACAGATTGATTGCTGAAGTCCAGGAAAGGTTGCTGTACGAAGAGAGGGTAAAATGATTATCTACAGAAATTTATTCTAATTTGTGAGAAAACAGCTTGTTTTATGTAAACGAGGCTCTTGAACTGAAATTCAGAATATGGAAACTTTTCAACAGGTCGTTTCTAGGACCTGCTTCGAAGTTTACCAAATTCTGGCAGCGGCAAATGTAGGGTTTATATTTATTTTAACTTAACATTTGTTTTAAGTTTAAGCTATCTTTCCTGTCAAGCCTTACTTTCCCCTGGAATTGCCAATGCCAGAGTATGTAAATTTTAGTAGAACGCGCAAAGTATTCAAATTTTAAGCAGAAGTAATTTGAGTTAAATAGAAGGGAAACGAGATTGTAGGTGTGCTCTTGCTTCACGAGCGTGAAGGTTGCTAGGTAGAAATCGAAGAACCGCGCGTTTCGGCCTGTGTGCTTGCCTCGGCAGATAGTTGAATCTTTCAACTTAATATTCAGAAAGTTTGCTGAAATATCAGCTGTATCTTAGAACGCGGTTAGGTTAGTTACGTTTAGAGAGCCTCGTAGGTAGTAACTTGTTATTATTCATGTTAGTTTTCTTATTTTTTTATTTTACCGCCGGGTCGGCGTAGTTTGTGAGCGTCAAGTGCACGCATCTGTAACTTCTAAAGTAGAATAAAAAGGGAGTTAAACCCTTCTTAAGAGTTTTGTGTACTTTCCAGTTCATAGCAGTCACTACTATTGTTGAGTGTAGGTTGGGGCCGCGCAACACCACAAACAGTATGTACAAAAGATAAGCATTGTGGATAAACCCAGCCGGTTATGATTTATATTGAGAAGATGAATAAATTAGAATTTTAAACTTTTTGTCCTCTAAAAGCCGCCCCAGATTTTCCTAGTATCATGCGCATTTAGAGACAATCAGAACTTCGAAAGTATCTGGAGTAGTTTCGGTTTTCGGTGCTTAACTTTGAATACTGAATACTGTCATATTTTACTGGAATTGATAATTCGGAGCAAGAGTTAGTGAAATGCAGGTATTTATTGAATGTTGGAAGTCAGAAGTCGTTTATTATAAGTGAGTGTGCAGAAATACTAGATCTAAAGGGTTGAAAGAGAGTGCAGTTTCAGTTCATTGTTTATGGATTTTTAGCAATGTGAATACTAGAGAAGTTGATTTGTTATTCACTCTTCATTTGAAAAGTGATTTTCAAGTTTCCAATATTACTTTTATAAGGGAAACATTTGTTCATAAAACTCCTTTTCTTATGTTTTTACCTTCAACTATTTGTTATAGTTTTAGTGCTCTTATTTAAGCCGGCATCTTATTTTGCAAATCAAGCAAAACCGGCCTTTTATTATGTGTAAACGTTTTAAAACTTTAATAAATGGGGACATTAATAAAAACCTTACTTTCGCTTTTAGTTGAAAAATAGGTTGGATCAGGACTTAAAAGAGAAGGGCTCGCTCGCTGAGCTTTTCCTCTTGACACAAGAAGTAAGAAGTGATGACGTACTCATGCTGCTTCCATAGACAGTACCTACTACATAGTACCTCCTGTATCTAGGAGGTACTGGTCAGGAGCAAGGCCAATGACGTCACACAGTGGCAGGTGCAACGTGCAACGTCATCGATGACATCACACTGGAGGACGTAGTTGAGTTGAGCTATTTTTTAGACTGCTGGTTGAGTTGTAGACCTCCTGCTCTTCATTTAAATTGAATTTTTCAAAATTGGCAACGGGGAAATATTTTCTGCATCTTAATTTTGGTGAATGTTCATGCTGCCCTCTGTTTATGAAAAAAGAAAATAATCTGTGTTAGAAATATATTTTTAACTCTGGTGTTAAAAATTATTCAATGAGCGTCTCTGAAAACAATATAAGAGAAAAAAATATAAAAAAGACTTCCCTTTAATGACAATTTCATAAAAACGTATATTATTATTTTCATATTTTATAATTTTCAACATAGTCTGAATTTTAACTTATATATTATATTTCACGAACGTAAATGTTCTCGTACATGGCGTTTATTTGTTACATTACTTAATTTTAAATGCAATTTCGCACATTTTTTAAAAATTTTTAACGTTATAGTTTTCAACATATTATGAATTTTAACTTCATTTACTTAACAACTGTTTATTATACCGTTTAATTTTAAACATAATTTTTAACATCGTTTTTTTTTCTCTATTTTTTAACTTTTCTAGTTTTCTATATGCACGTTAAGTTTAACTTATTTGTTTTAAATTCTATTTAAAAATAAAAGTTTATTTTACATTATATTAGTTCTTTTACTTAATTTTCTACAGAATTTCTAATTCCTTTCACATGTTTAACTATATCTTCCTTACAATGTCCAAGAATTTATTTTTAATTTAAGCAATTTTAATCTATAACTGTTAATTACGTTTCTTAAGTTAAGATTTTCCCTGTAGTTTATATTTCATAATTCTCGTTTGACTTACTTATTGTACTGCTTTCATTTTTCCTAGTCTCGCAATTCAAAATTCTGACATTTTATTCCATTTTAGACATTAACACAATTTTTAACAATATAAATTGTTTTAATTAACTGCGTATTCAGACATTTCCTTATATTTTTAAAAATACTTGTTACATTCTCTGATCATAATTGATCATCTACACCAGGGGTTCTCAACCGTACCACTGGTGGTACGCAAGAGAGTAAAAGGTGGTACGCTAAGTATTTTTAACATTATACAAATTAGCAAAACGAAGTAATTAGCAAAGTATTTTTAACTATTAAATTAAAAAATTAAAACCCCATCATCTTGATCGAGTTTTTTCCCTAACACTCGTAAATTTATGCGATCTGAGTTTGTTCAAGAGTGGTGGTGGTAGTAGTACTTTGTAGTGGTGGTACTAAAGGCTTTCAATTTTTGTTTAGATGGTACGCGTTAGTCAAAAGGTTGAGAATTGAGAACCGCTGATTTACATGACTTGATTAGGCTTAGTTTTACTCAGAAATTTCCATTCACAACTTTACAGTTAAATAGCATTTATATATAAATGTAAGTATTTTTTTCTCATATAGTTTTAAGGTATTCAAAAGTTTCTAACATCATGTTTAGTTTTTAAATACCGATTACTTTTAAGCGTATTCATAATTTTCTTTTCTAACTTTACAATCACATTCAGTGTTTCATCCACACATACCAAAATATTTCTTATATCTTCTGATATTTAGTCTACATCATATTTCAATATTTCATATGAATTTACACCACTCATACGATTATTTTTTCATATTTTAGATGCACTGATTATGTTAATTTTACCTTTTTCCTGCATTAATTGCATCTATGTCCACGCTCATGGAAAACGTTGAAAGAAACTAGCAATTTCTTGCATCACATGCACAAAGAAATTCTTAAAAGCAACTTTTTCAATATCGTACCCAAATCACCATTTTTCAAACTGAATTACCATTGTTCTATGGTTTTACTCTATTTCATCTTTTTAAATTTTGATATCTTACTTTTAATTATAACATACTTCTTTTGAATTGCCTTTTTCGTTTAATGCTTTTTCTTTTTTTCTCTTCTTTCTTTAATAATTGCAACTTGTAGAAAATTGAGTTATGATGTAGATACATATCGGTGTCTGCAATGGTATTTAATAGTTACCGTTAAAATGAGTCGCGAGTAAGAAAATGGAGACCCTGAATACATTTATCCTCATTTTCGTAGCAACTGTTTGCAATTATTTAAGCGGCAGGATATATAAAGAGAGATTGACGAAGCCTTCGAAAAAGTAAAAAAGAGCTTTGATGAATTTAACGAACGTGGCTCAATGTGGGTCTTGGAAAAAGTTGTTCAATCGAACTAAATATTGTAAAATATGGACCCCTTTCCTCCAATAGTTAATTATTCAGCTATAATAAAAGTAAGACTATTAAACTTTAATACACATACATGTACTGGATGATGGTATTACATTGATTAATGTAAATGATTGTTGATACATGTATTAACATGGTATCTGCTCACTTTTATGAAGTTCAAAGCATTACCGCAAATATTATTCATAAAAGTTTTAAATTAATTTTATTTGATGTATACAATTATAACAATATCTATTCAGCTTTCGTTCGTATTCGGGAATTTATGAAAGTTTAAATATTTTTTTTAATTTAATGTAGATTGGAGTAAAATATCTGAGTCTTTCTCTGGTTTCAATCGGTAATGAGTATATGCTGGTAATTTGACAATGTTTTTTTCATAAGAAAATATATTAGCTAATAAGAGAATATTTGAAATTAATAAACTAATACAAAGATAAAGATAAGTAAAAGAATGAAAAATAAGGAATGTATGAATAATACGAATGCTTATAATAAAATGTTGAAATATAAATGAAGTACACTAAGTTACAATAAGATAAAGAATAATATATAAATAATACAATAATACCTAAGATAAAATAAAATGAGAATAAAGAAATGAAACAAAATATTCTAATATAATGCAAAATATAAGTACAATGATATATTATCAAAATAATTAAATAACTAATATAGACACCTTGGACATATATGCCTACCTCACATCTTGATTTCATAGACTTTACCAAAGTGTTGATCAAGTCTTGTGAAACTGCATGCCACTGTTCTAAAAGTGCACTTTTCAGTTTCTGGAGGGTTCGAGAAGAAATTTGGTGCCTCAAGGCATCCAACGCATGTTCAGTCGAGTTTAGGTTGGGCGAGTAAGGTGGCCAATCCGTTCGAGTGATATCTTCTGTTTTCAAGTGTTCTGACACCATATATGCTCGATGAGGCCGAGCATTGTCATACATTAGCAAAACCTTTTGGCCAACAGCACTCCTAAACAGTGTAACTTGGGGTTGCAATACCTTGTCCACATACCTTTGAGCGGTTACAGAACTTCCTTGTAAGATATGCAGCTCGATGTATCCATTTGTCATAATTCCTCCCCAAACCCCTAAACCGCGGTCTCGAAAACAGAAAATTTCACGGACAAGGGAAGGCAAGTTGCGTTTTCTTTTTTTCCCTCCAGATCGAAACACGTATAGAATCAATGTTCAGACTATATCTGGACTCGTCAGAAAACAATTCTTCGGGCCCAATAGTCTTGGCTGCATTGAACATGATGACAGCACCAGTCTAAACGAGCCCCTTTGGAAGCTGCAGTGAGTGGAACGCAAACCATTGGCTTTCTCGTAAACATTCCAACCTCGTTAAGCCTCGTGAAGTAATATAATGGCTAGTTCGAGTTTCTGTGGCAGTCTGGGAGTTCTAAAACTAACTATCTTTTAGCCGCTTTGCGGTTTCTTCGAGCCGACAACGATAGAACACGGTCTCTTGATGCAGTTATTAGTCTTGGTCTTCTTTGAACAGGCTGTTTATCAACTGATCCAGTGCTTGAAAAGCGGTTCCAAACTTTTGATATGGCACTTCAACGGGTTTTGAAATCTTGGGCGACCTCCATTTGTGTTTGACCTCATTCGATTCTACCAATTATTCGCCAATTTTTTACCTTCACTTAAATTAGGGGTCTTCAACCCGTGGCCCACTGAAGTCAAGTCATTTTAGTGGCCCCACATTTGAATATGAAGAAAAATTGAAAAATTTTAGTAAATTTTGATTTCAAGAAAAATTGCCTTGTGAGCTTTTTGTCGTAATTTTTTTCCTCTTATTCTTGATATTTAAATTCTTGATATTATTTGAGATAGAATTTTCCGAAAATGACAAATTTTTGAAAAATTTCACTTTATCTTATGTAATTTTAAAAATGAAAATTTGACTACGCATAAAATCTCAATTCCATAGAAAGGGTAGGTTCTTAGCTCTAACACGTTTACAACAGATGTCAATCTTTCGTCAATACTTCGCCAAAGTTGACGTTGAGCGTGCTGCTACTATAGAGGGGAGGGGGAATAAATTAACAGAATTCTATTTCTCTTAATGTTGCAATCAGTTATGAAAGGGAAGAGTGATCGTAAACATGCCGTTTGATTTGGTGATAAGCAGATTTTCTACAGTTGATTTTAAGCTAGGTTACTCATGCTCATTCCACATTTTAAAATTCGAAAGCGTTTATAGTCTTTGAATGAGTACATGATGGGAAGCCGTGATAACAAAAAAAGAAAAGTTGAAGGAAAAGGGCGATTATTTTAAGAAAAGTGGTCAGATATTTATTTTTTTGTTGTACATAAGGGTAAGACAGTTTGCTTATTTGCATTGACAGTGTAGCTGTGATGAAGGAATACAACATTAAGAGACATTATGATACTAAACACAGTGAGAAATATTCTTCATTGGAAGGTCATTTTCGAGGTGAGTGAATTAAAATCAAAACTAAATTTTCAGCAGTCTTTCGCCACAGCGAATAAAGAATCTGAAAATAGTGCTCGTGTTAGTTACATGATAGCAGAAAAAATTTCTAAGCGTAGAAAACCCTTTGCTGATGGAGAATTTGTAAAAGAATGTCTTCAGAGTACAGTTGATGTGCTTTGTCCATCACAGGCTCAAGTCATAGCGAATATTAGCTTGTCTGCTGTGACAGTAACGAGACCCATAGAGGACCTCCTAACAGATATATTCAGTAAATTAAAACCCAAATGCAAAAAAAATTGCGTTTTATTCTGTAGCGATGGATGAATCAACAGATACTGCACAAGTAGCCATTTTTATTCGTGAGTTTGATAGACTTAAGAATTGTAGAGGAATTAGCCAGTGTCGTCGCACTTAAAGTTACAACACGAGGATCAGATTTGTATTCGAGTCTGACACAAACTTTGGATAAATGGGAGTTAGACTTAAATAATATGTCTGCTATAACCAGGGATGGTGCTAAATCTATGACTGGAGAGAAAATAGGAGTAGCAACATTACTCAAATCTGATGTGAAGGGAAGTGGAAATAATACTGTGATGACTTTCCACTGCATCATCCACCAAGAAAATTTGTGCAAAAGGTCATTCTCAAACTTTGAACATGTGATGAATGTTATTGTAAAAGTGGTTAATTTCATTCGGTCTAAAGGACTTAATCACATGCAATTTCGACAGTTCTTGAGTGATTTGGAAGCTGAATATGGTGATGTGTATTACGCGGAAGTACGTTGGTTGAGACGGGGAAAGATACTTCCGCGCCTGCGTTCATTGAAGAGCGAAGTTCAGTTATTCATGGAATCTAAAGGGAAATCTATTCACGAATTGAGTGATGAGAAATGGCTGAGAGACTTTGCAATTCTTGCTGATATTACAGGTCATCTCATCGATTTGAACTACCACTTACTGGGAAACGATTTACTTGTTCATAACCTCTATTACTTTGTAATAAAGACAAAATTAATAATCCTGTGGGAAAGCCAGTTGTTAAGTAAGAATTCCACTTACTTTTCAAAAATTGATGGAGTGTGTGAAAACCTCTAGAACACGGAATTCAAATAATTATGTACAATGCATTTCAAATTTGAAAGTGGAATACAAAAGCAGATTTTCCGATTTTCGTGAAAACGGAATTTTTATCAGAATGTTCTCCTCGCCATTTTCAGTAGACGTTAGAAGTGTTCCACCGGAACTTCAATTAGAATTTATAGATTTACAGTGTGACACTGTAGTAAAATGCAAATTTCTTGCAAATCCTACATTAATTGATTTTTATTCCAGGTACGTAATCGAAGACAAGTATCCAGGAATTCGTAAGCATGCGCTCTTCACGTCTTCTATCTTTAGCAGTACCTACACATGTGAAAAGCTTTTTAGTAAAATGAAAATCCTAAAATCAAAAAAAGAACGTGGCTGACAGACAGATATTTAGAGGAACCTTTACGAATTGCAACAACACAGATTAAACCGGATATTGAAGCTTTTTAGTGTGAACAGCTTTTTAGTAAAATTAAAATTCTAAAATCAAAAACACGGCTGGCAGAGAGACATTTGGAGGACACTTTGCGAATTGCAACAGCACAGGTTAAATTGGATATCGAAGCATTAATCAAGCAAAAACAATGTCAAATTTCACATTAAAACTAAAGTAACTACCATCTCCTTCCAGTATTGTAATTTTTTTTTTCTTTTTTTACTTGTAAATGCATTTTGTACCATCGTTTTGTACAATCATTTTTATACATTTTTTCCCATAGTTAAAAGTTGCAAAACATTTTAACTCCATTTTCATTTGACTTTGCATCAATGTATACAATCTGTAACACTATCTCTTCGCTTAGAATCAATTGTAGTCTTCCAAAATAAACCTTTTTTATATAAATTTTCTGACTACATTATTTTTTTGACAAATATGTGACCCGCGGATTCTTGTGAATTTATTGATGTGGACCTCGGGCGTGAAAGGTTGAAGATCCCTAACTTAAATGATGCCTTTGAGCCATAAATACTGAATATTGATCACTCTGAGAAGCCGCATTCACTTTAAACCACACACCGGATTTGCAAAAATGCGTCCATTGGGCATCACATTGTTAATCACGGAATTTGAATATTTCCGGCTCTAATGTATGCGCGGAAGTTCAATTTTGTGTTCAATTGTTATTAATTAACATAACTAATTGTAACATTGAATATTGGTTGCAACATGGTGAATATATTTTGTCTCATTATCCTTTAATTTTGATGACCAGTGTAGATTCTTCCATCTTCCTGCGTCTTGTTACTGATGTTTGTAAGCCTCCATAAATGTCATCTTAGCTGCATCTTGGCATCTTAGCTGCAAAGCTGACAAGAAAATGTGGTTATATTCAAGTTTAGCAAAAAAACATTACCCCTCTCTCTCCAGACCCACTTGTTATTAAAACTGGAGTTATATTAGAATTTGCAATGGTGCATAGGAGACACGTGTATGTCCCTTCCTAGGAAAACATATAACTCACTTTTTTGTTTTCTAGACTGACAGATGTTAACTGATTTGATGCATTTCTAAGAGAGTAAGATCGTAAATAAATATGGAGGAAAAAAAGAACAGTCTTTGTTAGGTATTAATATCACGAAGTGGCGTGGCAAAGGCTTAGGCTTATTCTTCATATGTTCTCTATCAGATTAATGTCAAATCAGTGAATCTCATTTCTTACAGAAGACCATTTCTTGGAAGCTCACCAATGCTATTATTAGATTCACTAAAACCTTTCATACCAGTTCTTTATGCTCTTAACATCTGGAGAATTGTATGCATATGAACTTCTAAACCATTATTGATGAGCGATTTAGTTTCAGCATAAAACTAAACACCCTTTTTTAATTTCATTTGCGTTACTTCGTTGCTATTTTCATTGGCACACTCGACTACATAGAAGGGGAGGGGAATTGTGGAAATAGGATTACCAAATTACAGACTATATTCTTGACTATATTCTTACTTCATTCATGTAAAATATTTTTAATCAGGAAAAGGTTCTTTGCCCAATCTATATTATGCCAGTTTTCAGTTTTTGACCTATTTTTCAGAGATTTCAAAATTAGCGAAGCAGATTTCTCTAATTTATATTTCTGATTTGGAGAGCTTCTCATATAACTTGTTGGCTTTTGTCCCATAAAATTAAATGAAAATTGTCCTTTTATGAACAATTATTACATTCCAAGCATCCACGTATGATTAGTAAGCGACTTATCTAATTTTTTATTTTATGTTAGCAAAGTATCAGCTCTCGGTCATTTAGAATAAGTCGATTGCTTATTAGAATAATTTTCCCTTGAGTGATATTTTTTTCCTTGAGTAGTGGAAGAGAATGCATTAAAAAACATGCTATGATGTCACTACTGGCTCTTCAGAAATGAAATACGTTCTTCTCATTATTATTTCAAACAGACAACGAATAGGTTTCTTAAATAAATAATAACATTCGACTGGGCAATGAGGAGATAACATTTATAGATCACAAATGGGATTCCATTTGCAAAGTACCTTCTCTCCCAACATTACATTGATGATTAACATTTTATTCTAGTTGTCTCAGGTTTTCCATAGTTATACATTGATTTTTTTTTCTCATTTTAAATGCATAAATATCTTAAAGCTTTTAAAGGTAGAATAAGCAAGTGATCACTGTGATTTCGTTGAAACTACATTGCCATTGTAATTTGAGCCTTATAAATCAAAAAAATATATTTTAAATTTGATTATGTGTTCATATTTACCTTATTTTCTTTACTTCGAAAGTTAAATAATGATTTATACTAATTTAGGAATACTAGTAAGGAAAGTTAACGTTTCAGGTGTATAAAAGGAAAATTTAAGCAAGGAATTACAGGTCTCGAATGTTTATTATGCTCTTAGCGTCATTTTAAATTTACAAAATTTTGCACAAGGACATTTAAATAAAACGTATGAGTTGGAACTTCCATTTAGAAGTAAAGATAACGCAGTTTTACATAAAATAAATACTATTATGGTCAATGCAACTGACGCTGGAATTAATCCTGTGAACGCAGATGATGCAACTTGGATTCTTACTGCTTCCTTCGTTATTTTCACCATGCAGACAGGTACAGTACAATTTGAAATTTTTTATTACAATATTTTAGTGCAATGCTGCAGATTAACATACTTTTTTAAGATTTTGACTTCAAATGTTATTTTGTGGTTTGTAGTTAAATGCATAGTAAAGGTATAACACTTCATTTGAAATATATAATTAAACTCACGGAAATTGTTACAAAGATGCGTATTGTTGAAAAATTGATTAGATAAGCAATTCAGATCGCATGATACATTTCACAGGGTGAATAATTTCCTTTATAATATGTTACATGATTATATTTTAGAACATATTTTATGCTTTATTACATGATTATGTTTTAGAATATATGTCACGTTTTATAACGCATTACATATTTATAAGTTAGAACAATTTCAGAGGTATAGAATAGCAGAAGTAATAACTAATATCTGCGTGTAAATATTGTTATAAGTCATGAAATTTGACTTAACTCAGTCATAAAATTTCCGAACAATCTCTTGAGATATATAGGCGACTAACTGATCTGAAATATGTTTCTTTTAAAACTCTAATATGCAGCTTCAACGTTATTATCTCATTACTTATTCTTTCTCTTCCTTTACATATATTTTTCCCCTTTCAGCTATAGTAAGTTAATTAACGAGAAAGTCACTACAACTTAAAATGGGAATATTATAATATTAATTCTTGATTTAGGACAAAATTCTTGGAATTTTTACTTTTTATTACAAGATATTCATTTGAAATCGATCGTAATTTCTGAAGGGAAATTCACCTGCTTTATCAAAAAAGGTCTCTTAAATTTATTTATTTAGGTATAAAGGAAGTACTTTAAATTTGCTAGTCAATTTACAGCATGCTTAGATATGAGCTGCTACCATTAAAACTTTCTCTTGTTGTTTCCATTAGTTTTGCGTAGATTAATGAATCAAACGTTAAAGATTTGGTTTACATTTCTTATTAGCTGGCCACTTTTTTTTCACTTATGTATAGCATGTATTATGCTTATTGTTCTAACGAATACATCAGCTACATTCCCGCATACCAGCAAAAGGTTCAAGAATTAAATTTACTTTTTCATTCAATTTTCATAAAATAAAGCAATATGAAATTTCTAAAGCTAAAAATATTAACTAATAAACTAGATAAATTCTTATATATATATATATATAAGAATAATTTATCAAGCAAAGCAGTAATAACAATTTTTAAAAAACCATTTTGGTCTAGAAAACATCTTGGTCATCTTGGTCATCTTAATTTTTTTGAAAACGTGTTGAACCTTTTGGAGCAGCAGCTCTTGGTAACTTTTAGGCGAGCTTACTACAATTTATATATATATATATATGTGTGTGTGTGTGTGTGTGACGGAATAGAAGCAGAAAAATTCAAAATAAATAATATAAAACAACAGAAGCAATGTTGCATAACTATCAGCATAAATTTTAAGAAACATCTTTAAATTTAAAAGTACTTTGCGCGTTTTAAAAAAAAAAAAAAAGAAAAGTGACAGTTCTATAACTCCCGTTGTACTGGGGCGATTGACGAAATTAAACTTGCGTTTTTCATGCCTCGAAAGCGCGACTTAGAATATGTATTACATTTATATATAGCATTTTCTAATATAGGTATTTATAACACATCGGAACTTTTTCTGAAATAACATACCAATTTTTTTCCATATTTCGATTCTACGACTCAAATTACGCCAAACTACCAAGTTTTGTAAAAATCGCAAGAGTAGTTTTTAAAAAATTAGCTCTCAAAATTTTCAGCTCCTCAATGTTAATTGAGTTTGGTAATATCTCTTTTTTATGAAACTTATTTGATTCTTCCTTTCACATTTCGAAATTTAGGTTCATTCCAAATAAAATTCACCCACATTTTATGATTTATTTTTAAAATTTGTATTTTTAAATAATTTTTATAAACTTGTCAAAAACACTTTTGAATCTATAAAATGTTTACCATTTTCTTAAAGTGGGCGTATTTCTAAGCATACCTGCAAGAAATTACAGTTTTTTTATTCAAAATTTCCGAAGATATACGCGAATTTATACACTCTTAGACAAAAAAAAAAAAAAAAAAAAAAAAAAAAAACGACGCACCAAGAAGGAATTATCCGAATGGAACGAAAATCGGTAGAAGTGATGTACGTGTACAGAAAAACAAATGATTACAGTTTGAGAAAAATTGGCTGATTTATTGAAGTGATAGAGCTTCGCAAAATGAAAAAATCAGTAACGCATTTGTCCACCTCTGGCCCATATGCAAGCAGTTATTCGGCTTGGCATCGATTGATAGAGGATGTCCTCCTGAGGGATATCGTGCTAAATTCTGTCCAACTGGCGCGTTAGATCGTCAACATCCCGAGCTGGTTGGAGGGCCCTGCCCACATTGCTCCAAACGTGCTCAATAGGAGAGAGATCCGGCGACCTTGCTAGCCAAGGTAATGTTCAGCAAGCACTAAGGCAAGCCGTAGAAACATGTGCAGTGTGGGGACGGGCATTATCTTGCTGGAATGTAAGCCCAGGGTGGCGTGACATGAAGGACTACACAACGGGCCTTAGAACTTCGTCGACGTACCGCTCTGCTGTAAGGTTGATAACCAAAGGGTCCTACTATGAAATGAAATGGCACCCCAGACCATCACTCCTGGTTGTCGGCCTGTCTGCCGGAAGACAGTCAGGTTGGTATCACACCGCTGTCCGGAGCGTCTCCAGACTCGCCTTCGCTGGTCATCGGAGCTCAGTTCAGAGCGGAACTCATCACTGAAGACTATTCTACTCCAGTCAGTGACATTTCAGTGCGAATGAGCCCGAAACCACTGCAAACGGGCTTGACGTTGTACAGAGGTCATGGTAGTCAGCGCAAGGGGCGCCGTGACCTTAGCCTCCTTTGTGTGAGCCGTCTATGAATGGTCCTTCCGGTCACTGAAGCACTACAATCCATGATAATGATGCATCTGGGGCTGTGAGTGCCGCTCTGACGATTGCTCGGTCTTCACGTTCTGTCGTTTCTCTAGGTCTACCACTTCCTTCATGACGCTGTGTGTGCGGCTATGGTTCACTCATTCCTGCCAACATTGTCTAATAGTGGCATCGCTCCTGCTCAAATGTCGACCTATTCGCCGATAAGATCAACCGGCTTCTTTAAACCCAACTACATGACCTCTCTCAAATTCCTCATTTGCACATATTGTTCGAGCACCTGTATGCGAGGCATAGTTACTTAAAATCTACCAGAGTACACGGAATGAAATTCGTGAAGAATTTATGACCTGGAATAGTAATTTCTCCTTTTAAATATCCTGCCAGTTGCGCAGATCAGATGCGCTGTAGCGACAATCGTTCTCCGTCGAAATCTGTATGCATATCAATTTGTGTCCAATTTGCTTTATTATTTGGAAGTAGAAACGATGTGCCTTTTTTTTCCGTCCATGCACAGTGTAAAAAGGTAAGGAACGAGGTGTCTTTTTTTTCCGCTCCGGCGTAATGGAAGGGAAAGGAAAATAGGTTGCCACATATTAAGAAGCTCGCCAAGTGAATTATTCTTGGCGAAAACTGAAAAAAGTGTGCCAAGATAAATTTTTGAATTTCTCCCTAAATTTCGCACCAAAGTTTGCAACATTTAATATCTAGGCATAGTCTCAGTCGTGGAATCGAAATATGGAAAAAAAATTTGTATGTTATTTTCAGAAAAAAGTCCTATTTTGTGTCAAAATACCTATGTTAGAACAATGCTATATATACATCTAATGTATAATATGTCCTGAGTCGCGCTTTCGAGACATGAAAAATGCAATTTGAATTTTGTCAATCGGCCCAGTAGAACGGGATATATAGAACTGTCCCCCTTAAGCTATTGATATTTCTATTTCCCTGGAATTGAGCTTCTTTGCCCAACCTCATAGCATTATGCTTGATCATAGTTTATTAAAAGACAGGGAAGAGATATGAAGCTAATACCCAAAGCTGACTGCTTTCAGTTGTAAGCAGTATTGCATTGGATAGAATACTGAACAGATCTGAGAAATATTGCATTGCATTATTTTGCGTCTTTCACGTAGTTGCTAAATAACAACTACGGGAAAGTAGTGTGGTGTTGGTTATAATTGGTGCTGCTGCTGGAAAATAATATGCCTTGCTTATTAATTGCTGAAGTGTTCAACACTTCGAAGAAGTATTATTATTTTCAGTTAGCAATGGAATCCTGCCCATTGTGACTAAAAATAAGAAATACGAGAGCATTTTGTGGCTAGTTAATGATGATATTTTATTTATCCTTGCCTTATAAATGCGTGTCCCGCATCAACTTAATGAACAGAATTATTTTTGTAAAAATCTGAACTTCTTAATAACATTTGCAGCAAGTGTTATTGCATACTACAAATACTTCCGAATGAAGAATTTCTGCCTCTACTTCTTCTGTACACTATGACCTGAATCCACAAAAATTGAAAAAGGTTGAAGAAATTTTGTAACACCATATAGATTACAATCATCTTTACACATGACGTCATACAAATAATGACACTTTCTTTTCATATTTTAATAGCTCTCTATTCGTACTATTTTGAGTTCAAAAAGGAAATGGAAAAGCAAATGTCAGAATGTTTAAAATTTAAATTCTTTTTGGGTTGAATTTTAATTTTATTCAACATTAAAGATTTAGTTTTATGAGTTTGAAATTGTAAATGCTATTTTTACTTCAGGAAAACTGCTAAATATTTTTTAAAATTTAATATTTAATTTTTTTATTATTTGCAAATTTTTGCATGTTTAGTAGCAATGTCTTCATCAGGATCTTAGACTGTAATCTAAAATTTCATAATGCGAGTACCTTTTCCCCCTCCAGGATTCGGGCTTCTAGAATCAGGTGCTGTATCCAAAAAGAATGAAGTGAATATATTAATGAAGAATGCCGTGGATGTCGTTCTTGGTGGACTTTCTTACTGGATGTTTGGCTATGGATTACAATATGGACAAGGACCAGGAACCTCGGCATTTTGTGGTGTTGGATCGTTTATGGTAGACGCTGACAATGATGGGGGAGTGTTCGCAACTTTCATTTTTCAGTTATCCTTTGCCACAACCGCAACGACTATTGTGTCTGGTGCAATGGCAGAAAGAGCAGATTTTAATGCTTATATAGTATTTTCTTTTCTAAATACAATTACTTACTGCATTCCAGCTGGTTGGATGTGGGGTGAACATGGATTTTTGAAGAAGCTTGGAGCCATTGATTTTGCTGGATCTTGCGCAGTCCATTTAACTGGAGGGGCTTCGGCACTTGTAGCAGCTCTCTGCTGCTTAAACCAAGGTTACACAGGTATGATCAAGGTACCAGCTCTTTGGCTATGGGAGATCCTGGCAATGCTATTATTGGAATGTTCACATTGTGGTGAGTTTAACTGTATTACTACAGTTTCAGGAAAAAAATAGTATTTCTTAATACTGCTTATTGTTGCTTAATTTTTAAAAGTAACTTCAATTCCAAATATAATAGGTAATATATTATTTGAAGAAAATTTCGTAAGTAATTCAGAATTTTAACAGCACTGAAATATCAACCTTACATAATGTTGTATGTACTTTTAATTAATTCTTCTAATTATTTTTGGTAAAAAAATTAAGAATATATTAATAGTAGTAGGCTCTATTTGATGCATACACCAGTGTTCTTTAGTTCTGCGCTCTCCACTTCTTTTTTGATGAGAAGTTCCTGTCTTTCTTTATTATAACGAAATACATTTTGAAATATTTCACTCTACATTCAACAGATCTGTTTTATCTACAAAGCTTTAGATAAATTAGAATAAGATATTTCCGCAACCAAGCCTATAATTTTCTTTGAAAATAAAAATAAAAAAATAAATAAATAAGTAAACTATTAAATAAGAAGAAATAAAAATATAATTAATTAAAAAAATAGTAATAAAATTAGGGTTCGCAGAATACATGATTTTTTTTTTATTTATTGAAATAAAAATTTACGTCGTGTTTTACACATAATTTTAAATGTGTCGAAATGTCACTGAATTTATTGTGGATAAAAGAATACTAGATTTGGAAGAGATCAAAATGGAGCAATACTTAACGCAAATAGCACGTTAATTATAAAAAAAAGGACATTCCGAAGAATTAAATACTAAAACAATTAATAATGAACATCAGCAATTGATGTAATGTGACTAAATTTACAAGACGCTTCATTTTCATTTATCGGAGAGAAAATGACGGAAAAGAAACATATTGGCACATCAGAAAAATTAAACAATATTTTAGCTAAATAGTAAGGAACGAAGTCCCTGTTAAGCTAAATAGTGAAAAACGCCCATTTTTTTTACCATAAAGCGAATGTAAAGTAACTAAGAAATGAGTTGTAGAAAAGCTGACAGTAAAAAGAGCGGTAAATCAGTTTACCAGAATCGAAAGACTTTTATGGATATGAAATGCTTCTAAGAATTCTAATAGGCCAATGGAAGATTTTTTTTTTTTTGGAATAATTTTGTCTGCAGAGAAATAGAAAAGTTTTATTTCATTGGTAGTAATGGGCAGTTGAGGATATAAAAGATTTTAGGATTTTTAAAAATATCCTTCAAGTTTATGAGGTCTTCAAGCAATGAATTACGGAAATTTATAAGTAGGAGAAAAGTGACACAAAAAATAAACTTATGTAAAATATCTGCAGTTTACAGCTATTAAATGGAAAGAATAGATTTACTGCTCAATTATTATAATCGGCTTAAATGAAAGTTTTTTTATGTTTAGATGTACAATTTTTAACCACTTGGTCATTAATATGAGATGAGAAAATTCTGTCAGTTGCAATCGCAACTGAACATTTGAGTTTTTGATCAACAGCTTTTTGGAGAACCAAACTTTCATTTCATGAGAAACGGCGGAATAAAATAAAGTCTATTTTTGTTTAGCCAAATAACATAAGGAAGTACAGGGGAAGTCAAATTAGTGAGCATTTGCAATATATAGTTGTATTGAAGTTAGATTGGTTGCGTGTGACCAGGATGAGAGAATTAGGTGCCTTGAGTTCAGAAGAGAAATGAGTAACAGGATCATTTGAATTCATAACAAAGAGAATCTTAGATAAATCTTTTTATCGTCAAACACAGCCATTGTATTATCAAAATAGCGGAACTATACCGCGAAATTTAATATATAATTTGCCTTTTACGAATACAAAATTGGTATTACTTTCTATTCGATTAGTCCAAACCTAAACACTGCGCCTTATTCATAGACTAGATATTCAACTTCCAGATTCTCTTCTAGAAAGGAAGCACCACAAAAAATTCGACCAGCTTGTTATTAAATCAAAAAACATTTCTCCTAAAGATTTCCTCATTGTTTCATTTGAAATGAAATCATTATCCTCCAGTGTTCCAATGGAGGATAATTCAAAATAACCTAATTACTCTACAAGTTATTTAAAATGTTAAACATTCCCAGATCACCCCATGCTTAAACATTTTGTTCCTCATATGAAATCCTGAGGTATTTACAGCTTTCCTAGGCAGTATATGTTAATCAAGCAAGAACAACCTTGAAATTTCACATTAAAGAACGCGAAACTTATTTTAGGGAAACATAATCTCATTAATTCTCTATTGCCCATTATTATTGGTAAGAAAAAGGCATAAAATAAAATCTCATTTTTCATTTCTCTGCAACTACCATTATTGAAAAAACGTCGGCCTTTGGTGAATTAGATTTCTTGAAGTTTCTTTGTACCGATAAAAATCTTTCACATTTGGTCAATGATCCCAATTACCGTTCTCGTACCCGCCAGCTTTTCAAGAATTTATTTCTTAGTTGTTTTTCTTTTACGTTACGGTCAGTAGTGCCGCTAGAAGCTTCATTTTTATCATTTAGCTAGAATATTCTTGAATTTCCTTCTGTTTTTCTAATGTAGGCATATGTTCCTTTTTCTCCATTTTCACTTCCGTAGCTGAGGAAGGAACTCTGTTTAACCTGCGAAATTATATTTTGCTAGTTAAGTCATGTTACTGAGATTCCTGTTGCTTATTATTTGTTGCTTTAAAATTTAGGATGCTTGTTCTTGAAACTGTTCGGGGTCATGTAACGAAGGAAGAGAAAAAGGACTTACAAATGTTTTAAGATTTAAACAAATAATGAAGCTAGAAAGAACATTCGAATTCTTTAAGATTTAATAAAATAATTATACCTGGAGAAGTGATACCTAAGCTGCAGAACCTTGATTTTTGTTTGAATGAACTATTTAAGGATGTTATGAAAGACACTACCCTCAAAGGCTGGCTCATTGTGTACATTCGTATATGCTTTTAACCAAATTTTCCTTTAACAACAATTTTATCATCAACAACTCTCATAGCATTAAAACGCTATGCTTTTAACAATAACTGGGCAGAAATTGCAATATATAAAAGGATTGAGGTATCTTGGCACAGATTTCATCAGATTTGATGACTAATTATGAAAATATTTCGTAAATGTAATGCATGAAATGCGTCCGATGGCACAAAAGATGCTCTAATTGAATAAGTCAAATGAGGATAAAATGATTTACAGTTCTGAGAAATAAAATGGTCCTTGGATATTCACAATTATACTTTGCTTAATAATGATTAAAAATCAATTCAATAATTAATTTAATATTTATATAATAAAAAATCAAAGAAATTTCGTATTTTTTTCCCTTATAGTGCGCGGATTGTTCACGTAAAAACACCTGTGGCAGTGGGGCTCCAGCCATATCATAACTGCTATTTTTGGCAGAGAGGAAGAGTGCTTGTTTCTACATGCCTGTATTTAAAAATTACCTGAAATTTTAACATTTCATCCTTCCATCACAATATCCGTGTAAAATAGTGTACAATTGTGCTGAATGGTTTCCTTCATGGTTAGCCCGTTTAACGTCGGACTACAGTGAGCCTTATTTTAAGAAGGCTTAAAATAGACTGAGTGCGACTATTATTTGATTGAGCGGATTATTCAAATAAATAGGTTAATTTCAAAATAAATGGGCATTCCGATTAGTTATTCTAGGGATCATGAATAGCGTGTTTACAAGGAAGTATTTGAGAAGTAAAAGTATTTGTCGAATTTCATACTCACTGGTGTTACCAAAATCGCAGAGGTATCACTTTTGTTATGATTAATATGGAGAAAGTACTAAGCTGTGTAGATTTCAACAGAATGTTAAAATAAGTAACACAGGAGAATCTTTATTTACTACAGTCTGTATTATTTCCCTCCCTCCATAATATTTCACAAGCCAACTAGCAAAATATAAAAGATAATTTAGTTAAATTGACAGTAATAAGCTATTACGTATGCGCCAAACTAAATAATTGCTTTGCCTTACAATAGGCGTAGTTTCAGGTAACATTTTTAGTAAACAATTACTTCGCATTATATTAGTTTCTCGACCAACTGATATTCCTTGTAAATTCTTATGCCAGGATCGAAAAAGACCGTTATCACTTTCTTTTTTATTTCTGACCTAAGAAAATCGGTCGTTAATGAAGCATAAACAAAGAAAGAGCATACTGCAATCATTACTCAATTTGACAGGCACATTTAAGTAGCATCAGTTTACGTTTAATTCAAAACTAAGAAATGAGCAAAAGAGTTGGATTTCTAAATTATTCACAAAACGTAAAATTACAATTCATGCTTTTTAATTAAAATTTTATGAATTTTACAGGTGGGGATGGTTAGTATTCAACACAGGCAGTAGTTTTGGCATAACAGGAAACAAGTGGCAATATTCTGGAAGGTAAAGCAAATTTTAATTAGATACAGGTTTCTAATTCGAAATGTCTTGACGACTTTATGTCATTCGTTTGCATAAAAACATCGAACTTTTTGCGGCAGCCCGACTTGTAATGCAAGTTCAGCTTCTGTATTTCTCATAAAAATTTATGTAACGCTTCACACCAATGCATAGCTTTTTATAACATGCTTGCTTTCCTAACAAATTTTATTTCAATTGTAGGCATATAAATTCCTAGCAAATTCAGTTAAACGTCAAAAAGAAAAACAAAAAAAAGTATGAAACGATCCATTAAGGAAGGAAAGAAATTTTGTAAATTTCTTGAAGTACTATAGTTCTCGATATTGGAAAATGTTTCCCATCTGTGACTTAAATTTGATTGACACAATTTGCTCGACTTAAATTTGATTGACAGAATTTGCTCGAACTTAACTCCGCATAAACTGAGAAAAATTAAATGTCACTAAAATTTCAAAAGGAGACTTAACCCTTTGCTTGTCGAGTTATTTTCTACAAATACCTTTAAAACTGTCGCTAATGTTTGACCGAACTCTCCTTAAAATGTCGCGAAAATTACCCTAGATCTTTGAAAAATGCCAGCTACTCATTTTGTTACTTTCCTTCTCTCCCAGAATTCTACATTAATTATTCCGACTTAGTGAGATGGATTACTACTATATAGTACTTTAGTAGATGCGAGCTCTCGTGAAAGTTGCAAATGAGCAGCTACTCTCAGACGGACTGTCTGAATGACATTGGACCCAGCAGGTGCAGCTCCTCAGCCTTTCACGAGTAAAAGATTACAGAACTATGGAACTTAAAAGTTTCTTAATACAAATATTATGAGATATTAATTTTTAAACACCTGATCTGATTTTAAGAACAATAATCAAAACATTTAGGACTTATTTAAGGGTTGAAACGGTGACAATATCAATGTCAAATTTGCATTTCACTTTGCTCATATACATTCAAAATATTCAGAAAGGGAATTTTAACCTGAAATTACTTTTGTTTATTAAATTTTAGTTGATCATAAATTTATTGACTGATTTTAAAAGTTCTTGCTTCAATTAAAAATTTTACTCTCTGACTGAAAGTTGAAAAGGAAAGATGAGACATAGTTAATAGGAAATAAAGCATTGCTGTTACTTATTGTTACTTATTGGCTTACATAACCAATATAATTGTTCAATATGGCATTTTGTAAAGAAAGAGTATTACTGTACATTTTGTAAAAAATAAATAAGCATTATGTTTAATAATTATAACAATCAATAATTTCCCAATGATTCATTATAAGAATCTGAATAAATATTTTGTGGGATATAATTATTGGGGATATTTTTTCCTAAGGATCTCAGCATTCATTTTTTGAAGCATTAAGTTGTAAATACATATCCTGTTTAAACACAGCAATTAATTATTCACACCAAATCCCTAACCAAAGGAAACGCCTTAAAAGAGAGGATTATTAATTTGCAATATTTAAATGAATCACATTAGGAAAAGAAGGAAATATACCTATATTTCAAAGAAATTCCTTTACAGTTTCACAGGGTTTTTAAAGGAAAGAAAATGCATGTGAAGTGACATAACTCAGTATACAAATAATTAACGTCCTAAAACTTAGAAAATGGCTGTTTCCATGTCATTGAGCTGTATGAGTAAGTTTTGTTTTCTTACGAACTGTTAGAAATGCGGGTAGAAGACTTGGAATTTACAAATAACAGGCTAGTTATATTTTTCTAGACACATAGGAATAATTTCATGTTTTTTTTTTAAAACGAAAGGATAATGTAACATAGAGAATTAGCCATATGAATATTCATAATGCGATTTGATGTTACTGTACAGCAACAAGATATTTCTTAATTCTGTTCATTCCGTTATTCTTCAAAGTGCATTGGAATTTCTGTTGTTTATTCTTTATTGATTTAAAATTACATATATCAACTTGTTATACCGCGATAATTAATTTTGGGTAGAATTATTTTATTAATATACAATATTTAGGTGTCTTACGTAAAATAAATTAAAGGTGCATAAAAACCAACAGGAAATGTTAAAAATTGTGTTTCAGGAATGAAAATGGTGTTTTATTTCGCGTTTAGGAAAGAATCTTACTTCCTGTTTAAAAAGGGGATCATATTTCGTATATAAATTTGAATAAATGATTTAGATAGATCTATTTTGTAGAAATGACACTAACATAGCATTGTCTGAAATACAAGCGTTTAAACTTTCTAGATGTTTGAAGACAGGCTCAGAATCACTGAGGCATTAGGTTATTTTGTTTTGAAGCAGGAGACAGAAAAATGAGCAATGCCCTCGCCGGGATTCGAGCCCTAGACCTCTCGAATACCCGGCGAGTGTGTTAACCGTTACATCACGAAGTCATACTAGTTGCAGGGAGAAAATACCTTATAAAATGACGTGACTGATGAAGCTCATCCGCGGTACTTAGATCGTAGAATTAGTTTTTAAATACGGATTATGATTTAATCAACGAAAACCTTGAATTACGACTTCTGTATATATACAGTACCTTCGATTAACTGCTACGTTTAACTGCAGCTTACATAGTTATTCCAGGCATAGTTTGTATGGACAGAATCAGGGACCAGACTTTATTCTAATAATACCCCCGAATGTCAAAGGTTTCTAGATCAAGCAGAGAAAAGATAAGACCACTATACATATCGACTAACGAGCTACATATCATAAATAAAATCCGATTGAACACTTTTGGAGTGCTGACAAAACTACGCTATTCAACTTGCAATCGACCTTAGGGAGACTGTCCAAATTTTTTGCAGTGTAACTGTAAATTAAAATTTGGTGTCAAATTACCTGAGCCTGAAGGTTTAGATTAGTGTCAAAGCCAAGGCAAATCATCAGTGCTCAATGGTAAAGAACTTAAAAAATAACTGAATAAGCAATAATTAAATGGTTTTGGTCACAACGTGTTGTACGCAAGGGAAAAATAGAAATCGAGTACGAAGATTAATTTTGAAATCTTTAATGACATCTACCATATTTGTATAACTTGTTCATATTGCACAAGGACTGTTTAAGAACTTTTGCTATTATTGCTTTTTTGGTACTTACATAAACTTTAAACCACTATCTCCTTCAAAGTAATCCTCTTTCTAGTGCTAATACACCTTTGTCGTCGGCTTTTGCACTTTTGGAGTCCTACTTCTTGACCTATCACTTTTTCGACAGAGTGCAGTACTCTCGTCTTATTATTATTTTTTTATATAGTTTACTCTATGAACTGGAAACGATATCCTTTCAAAGGGATCTTTAACTTGGGAAGAGAAAAAAGTCTGCCGGAGCTAAATCCAGAGAACAGGTTGGGTGGGACAGAACCGACTGATTTGGCCCCGGTTAAAGTCTCTTTCAACGCACAGCATATCTCATTCCTATTGGAATCTTTGTCAGATTTCCTTGTTTACTGTTTGATCATGTGGTACAAATTCATAGTGCATGATAAGAATGTTGGTCATCTGTTGAAGTGGAAGGTCATCCAGTCCTTGGATCTTCAGGAATGAAATTTCTGCCTTTCTTAGAACGTTAAAACCAATCATAGCAATACGTTTTGCTTGTACAGGAATCTTTGTATTCTCGGCTATGCATCTGGAATGATTTTACGAAAGTTTTTATCATTTTTATGCAGACTTTCACACAAACGCTTTGTTCCTCCAATTACATTATTTTATTTTTGCTTTTTCACTAATCCGACGAGCTTCTTTTTCACGATCTCATTCAGCTGGTAGCTACTGGACAACTGATGCATAGATAGAAACGCAGTTAAAAGTTGATAGTTACCAAGAAATGCTACTAGGAGCGAACGGTGGTCCGAAGTTCGGTATCTGAAGCTGCTGGCACGTAATTAAAAAAGTTCGGTCTTTTTTGAGTCGTCTTCGTATAAGGAATTAATATAAACAGAATAACTGATGGATTTATAGATACAATTGGGTAAATAAATTTTTTATGGTTAAATGTTTCTGAGGAGACAGGATGATCATTCTATAGGGTAGGCGGTTCCTTATTAATTTAGGTTATTGTTAAATACTAGGTTATTGATTAAACTAGTTATTGTTTTAAGTGACACAACAGTTTGTTTAAAAATAAACTGATTACATCTTAAATATTTTCACTGATTTAGATAATGTGAGTTTTGAAAGTGGTAATTATATTTGATTATTGTTTCATTATTTAGAGCAGCTATTAACACCATCAACGCATCTTTGGGTGGAGGAATGGCGGCACTTATTTTAACGTAAGTTCGAGATAGTTTACTTTATATCATTAGTACAAGCACTTTATTAGCGTTAAATTTGTTATTAAAACTAAACCTTTCAAAATGTGTCAGTATAATGTCGTTAGAATGTGCGAATTAATAAGTTTAAAAGACTATTAAACGTAGATAATAATCATAAATATTTTAATGGGTTAATATATTTGAAAATCAGCATGTATACATCAGATTTCTAGTTCTCCACCATGAATTACGTATTGAGACGATAATGATATGAAAAAGTTATTCATATCATTATCGTCTCAATAAATGCCTGAATGTGTAGATATACAGATTTGTATGAAGACACGTATGTAAGTTTTCAAGATGAGCGGTAGCTTAGAGTGTATTCGGAAGCAATCTAATTCAAAATATTTTCCATTTGATTCAATATAAAAATAGAGAGCAAGCTGCGTAAGCTTCTATTTATCATTATATAATTTCGAAACTGCTTAGCTTCACAATCTTCAGTATTTCAAGCAAGGATAGCTATTCGAATTTCTTTTAAAATATAATTTCATTTAACCTTTAAAATTTCATTTTAAGAATTGTTTTGCATAAAATAGGTGAAAGATATTAAACTTCAATCACATAGTAGAAAATATTCAACTGTTATATGTCTGTATACTCAGATATTCCAAATTATTACTTCTGCAGGTGGACATATTTCAAGGAATATCAGCAACAACATTCCCATACTACTCTGATGAGCATTAAATTGCCACATCATGAAGACGGCCGACGTGAATTTACATAATGGATAGAGCATTATAAAGCAAAAAAATATATGTATATATATATATTAGATGTACTACTTCTATTCAAATAATGGAGACCTTTAACTCCACCAAAGAAATATGCAAGTTGGGGAATTGAAAAATGCACTTTTTCCGCACTAGAAAATATTTTTTATATGGATTTTTATCATCAGAAACTAAGTTGTAAAACAAATTTCAGAATTACAGTTAATTTCTATTTATTGCATAATATAAAAAAGTAAAATGTATAACATTTAAGAAAATATAGAGCGCTGAGGGAAAAATACCTTAGAAATGCAGTTTAGAATGATAGAGTTCAAAACAGGGTTCAAGGCAAAGTCCAACTTCTCAGTCTTTGCACCAGATTCAATAAATCTAATTAATAATCAATCTAATTATTAATCTAATCAATAAATCTAATTAATAATTCAATAATTTAATTAAGTAATCAAGATCGCTGAACGTTTTTCTAGCAGCCATTTCTGTAAGAAAAAAGCGGCACTACTAACGATATCTGTTGGCCAAAACGTAAACTAAACGCCTAATACTGTATGTAATTTATTTCAATGGTTGAATGGGGAAAAAACGGGATGCGCTCCTCAATAAAAACATATGCCTGCGGAAATCGCGGGATGAACAAATTTTGTTACATTTGAGTTGCCCGTGGATATCGGGGGATGATCAGTCAGAGGGTTAATGATTTCATGCTATTTCATTAGACTTTTAATTGTGGCTAAACTGTTATCAGGAATAATTAAGCAGTACTGCATGTAGTGAAGTTGGTGTAGTTCAAAATATAACGCTAATAATCACACCTGAACACATACCGAATCTGCTGTATGCTATTCCCATGCACACAAAGGGAGTCAATATAGCTGCTAAACATAACGTCTTTTCACATTGAGTACGGTTCTAAAATTAAACATACTAAATATGCATTACAAGTAGGTGATAAACAGTGGAGAAGATATCATAGAAATCCGAGCCTCATAAGCATTCCTGGATGTTCTTAAAATTGCTTAATAGATAAAGACAGCGCGGCAAGTAGCTGCACGTTGAAAACTTTTCCCGACGTATTTACTCTACTGAGTTTTAACAGTCCGATCGCTCCTATTCTTTCTGAAACTTGAAGCTGCATTTTAAAATTTTCTGTCCTTAATTTGCTTGTAAATCATTTAGAAATTAATGCATATTGATCACCATACCTCTCGCAGTTCGGTGCATGTGGAAAACGGTCTTTTTCCAACCCGATAAGTTGAACCATGCCAAGTGTTTGAAAGAAACTAAACGCAGCTTTTGGCTTGAGTTGGGTAATGCCGCTGGTTAGTTAGTCTGACTGATATTTACACTCATGTCCATAAATTAAGGATAATGCAAAATCAGGCAAAGAAAGAGTTAGAAGTAAAACAAATTTGACTTATTTGTAAAGCTTATTTATTAAACAAAAGGTAAAGAGCAAAAAAAGATGCTATATGTTTGATATTATTAAAAGAATTAGCGATTTTTTCTCTCTGGAGCAAATTAAAAAAAAAAAAAAAAAAAAAAAAAAAAAAAAAAAAAAAACCTTTTTACAAAAAAACCAATATTATATGGTTGGTATGATTGTTAATACATTGTATGTCTCCCAGACGATGCAAGACAGTCCGTACAACGCCTAGGCATGATGAATATCAAATTATCGATCTGATCTTGGGGGATATTACACCTCTCAAAAAGCAATGCTCTACGAAGTTCCGGTAGACATGAAGGAGGAGGTTGACGGGCTGCAACTCGTCGGCCAAGCATGTCCCAAGGCCAAGCATGTCCATGTGCTCTACTGGATTGAAGTCCGGTGAGAAAGCTGGCCAGTTCATACGGGTGATATCCTCCGATTGAAGGCATTCGCTTACGATGTTTGCACGGTGAGGACGGGCGTTGCCATCCATAAACACAAATTGTGCGCCCATGGCGCCCCGAAACAAACGTACATGTTGTTCCAGAATGACGTCCCGATATATTTGGCTTGTCATGGTTCCAATTTGAACATGCAGGTCAGTTCTGGAACCCAGAATAATTCCACCCCAAACGAGCACTCCTGCACCACCGTAACGGTGTCGTTCAATGATGTTTTCTTGGTGGTAACGGGTACCTGGAGCTCTCCATATGAAACTCCGGTGAGAATCAGACTGCAAGCTAAACCTGGACTCATCGGAAAACATCACACAAGCCCACTGTTGCGGTGTACACAATGCATGCTCTCTACTCCAGGCTAACCGCAGGCGACAGTGAGTTGTAGTAAGTGGAACGCATCTGACAGGTCTACGAGCATATAGACCAATCTGCCCTAAGCGTCTGTACACGGTCTGCCTTGAAATTGTCGTACCAGTGGCTGAAGAGAGCTGACGAGGCAGGTCTGAGGTTGTGCTCCGCCTGTTTCTTTTGGCAGTAACTGCCAAATACCGGTTCTCATTCGGTGTTGTAACTCTGGGTTGACCTGTGCTGTAACGTCTACTCACATTACCATCATCTTGGAATCGTTGCCAAAGCCTGGAGATGACACTCTGGGCAATTCCAAGTTCGTCTGATACTTCCAGTTGGGTACGCCCACATTCCAGACGGCCGATAATTCTAATCCATCGCATCCAAATGCATCCTTTGTGTCATAATTATTTGGTTATTGCACTGAAATGCTTATAAAGCGCCGGCGAACAATTTTACTTCTTTGCCTGTATTCCTTATATATCACTCTCTTACACCCTCGTCATTGTGACGTACCATCGATGCCATCTGGTTACTTCCTGAAATTTGCATATGATTCTTGAAGATGTGTGTAGTGATTTTACAGGTGATATATTTATTTTAGAGTTCGATTTCTGCGTGACTCCAAGTTATCCTTAATTTATGGACATGAGTGTAAATACATTTTTAAGAATTTCACGTTTTACCGGGTGTACATAAAATATAGATCACTTTTGACAAAAAATAATGACTATACTTTTATTCAAGAACTAATTGTAAGAATCAAGGATTACTTCAACAAGTAATCGTAACCTCTGTTTTTTTCAAGAGCTAATTTTAGAATGCATCTACTTGCTCTCTCGGCAGGGAGCTAAATATGATGTATGTCTTGTGTTGCTTAGTTTTAAATACATGTTTTATTTGGATACGATAAGAATGTTGTTGAAGTCGAAACGTTACAATTTCTATGCAAATTTCTATCCAGTACTATTCTGTGGAAAATTAAGCATCCAACTGAAACGTCGAACAGATGTCATCCTGTTGCGATCAATTTGCGCAGTACCTGAAGTTTTGCAATCAAGTTTTTCGATCAAGTTTTGCAAATTTACGCTCAGAATCGGCTCGAATGAGTTCAAATGATATTCCTTTTTTGAATGTTCCGTAACAATTAATCTTCTTTTCTTTATTGTTTTCATTTTACAACCAGTCTTTGATGCTCAGAATAAATTGAGAAATAATTACTTTTTTCATTAAAACGGATCAAAACTTTATTTATGTTCTGTACAGGCATTCTAAAGCTAACGCGATTTTAAACAGGTACATCAAGAATCGCAGATTTGGAGTCAGTGATACAGTGAATGGAATTCTAGGTGCCTTGGTGGGTGTTACAGGTAAGTAGAGTTTATATATAATAATTATAATTCTTTTCTACTAAATGAATTATATCGTTACAGCTTCAATACACATGATTCATCACAACCTACATTCTAAAAGAATATGGAAGAAATTAGTAATAACCCTAAAATAAAATAATGTAATAATGATGTATTTATATAGAATAGACACAAGGTATACCAAAATGATTACAAAGCAAAGTATCTCTTGATGGACTCAATGAATCCTATTTAAGAATGAATGAACTAAGGTAAACTACCAAACTTCGACAGTTTCGGTCATGTATTAGCTTTAGTAAAAGTATAATAAAATTTGGACTCGAGAAGAAATTCGAGGTTTGACGGACTCGAAAAGTCTCTCGAGGAATTTTTCTTTTCGTAGGACTCCAAAAGGAAAAATATTTTTGCATACCCGAATGAATCAAATAGAAGCATTTCCTTTCTCATACAACTAGAGTTACATGGAGTACAATAAACTAAAATTTTGGAGGCTGTATGTAAAAAAATATTGCTAATTGCAGCTACCCATGAAAGACTTCGAATATACATTTTTAAAAGAAAGCTTTTGAGTCAAGGAAGCGGGAATAGAAAACAACTGGCTTCAAATTTCCATATGTAGAAGGGATATTAAGTTTAGTTTTAAATCTAATATAGTTCAACTTTATATTACTCTAAAATCACAGATTTTCGTTTATTTATTTTCATCTGGTCGAAGTGGTTTAAATTTCAAAATTCTGATAAATTTCTTCAGCGTCTGTTTTGCTTATTAAAGAATACTTTACAAATTAAATTTTATAAATGTTTGCTGAAAACGTTTCTCATGATCAAAATTGCCTTAATCAGAGAGCCTACCTTCTTTCCCTAAACTGAAATTGGCGCCATAGGTCTATAGTCTACCTTAAATTTGAATATTAGATCTACAACTAACTATTCAAGGCATATTCAGTCATACATTCTTTTTTAAACAGCCTTTATAATTATTAACATATGATAAACAATGCTAAGAAATACATAATTACACTAAAAACTTCAAACCTTTTCCTGAACTACTAAAAATTGTCTTCTGATTCACTTCTGAGCCTTGACCTACATTATAGAAATTGTTCGTTTCAGTTCATTTACACTTGTCAATAAAATTAGAGTTGAAACCTATTTTAATGATTTATTCAAACTACTGGAGTAAAACGTCATTAAATTGTCAAAAGATACCTTAGAATTCTATAAAAGCAGCTTAGAAAGCAGTTTGAAATGAGATTTATTAGCAATGTTATCAAAACTAACATCTATACATGTCAGTGCGAAAATTATATAAAATGTGTGGTTCATTTGGAACTGTATTCTTGATCCAATGGTCGCGGATGAAGCAGTTTGTTACTTCGATCTCATATTAGCATGCTGAATTAATACAATGCGTCAGAAACAATCTCTTGACGAGCCACAGGGAAGGTTGGAAGACGATCAAAGTCAACGAAGTCAACGAGCCACTGAAGCGAGCGAAAGCGTAATTGCATACTTGTCGAGTCAGTCCCAAGAGAACAGAACTAATCGAAAACACCCTGCGCAAAGTCTTTACTGACCAATGCCTCAGATGAGACAGTTATTTCAAATAACAGTTCTCCGAATAAAGTGAGAAAACGTTATCCAGTTGTATAGGCAACTTTTAACGCAACCGGAAGAAAAGCATTGACACAAACACGCCAGAAATACATCATGCGTGTCGAATGTACGCCCGTAGACCCACCGTCATTGTTACAATCCTCTCCCAACATCGCAAGGCTCGAAAAAACTGGGCTGGACAACAGTGTGTTTGAGGACTTAACTGAATGAAGCAAGTTTTCTCCTACAAATCCTACAAGAAGAAGTTTTCTCCTACAAGTCCAGATTGAGTCTATAGCCAAATAATCGAGATTTCTGATTTGGTGAGAACCTGGAACCCAATACATTTCAGTGCATGCCCAAGAAAGACTGCACTGCTTTGGAAGCTTGTACTTGTTTGGGCAGGGATATACTTAGGTGCGAGGTTTGACCCCTTTACGTCATTCGGAATCGATTCCTGGCTGCTCAGAGATGCATGAAATCCTTCTTCGTAGCTTATACTGGTCCCATCAGCCATTCAACCCTTTTCTTGAGTGAGAAATTATTTAGCGCGTCTTATGAACGAAATATTTGATGAGGAAACAATACAGCGTATGCAGTGGACAGCCTGTTTTGAAGTTTTCAATCCGATAGGGCATGCTTGGGGCTCAGTCAGGCAGACGCGTTGCAGCTGGACCACAACCTGAGTTAATGCATCTCTGGTTGAATAGAGAAGGATCCCATAAACTTCCTTGGCCATCTCCCATCAATGTAATGCCTCGCAAGTATAAAGCCATCTTGCACGTCCGAAATGGCCACACATTTTATTAGACATTTTCAAGGTTTCTCAATGCTTATTTTTTCTATTTCAAAAGTATAAGTAGTAATGATATATGAAAGTGTGTGTCATTTGTTTGAGTCTTTGCTTTCTTGTCCTTTTTTATAAATTAATTTTTATATTCTATTGCGCATTTATCAGGAACTGTCTGTTCTCGCTATATCAATGCTCTCCTAATTTTGTTATGCAGTATATTATAAGGTTCCGAGATCAGAAAATGATTAATATACATTAAAATAATGACGAATAGCACATTTTGTGTCATTACGTTTAGTTTTATAGTGTAAAATATTACTTTAAGTAAATTATGAAACTATGCGTTACGAATTATGCCAGGTATTGTGCAGTATGGAGCTGATAAAACCGGAATAGACGGACCAGGCTCTTGCAGAATCAAGTATTCCAAAATCGCTTTTTTTCTGCGAATAATATTTCATATCTTTATAATATATATATATATATATATAGTACACACACATTTCAATACATATATATAGAGAGAGAGAAAAATATGAAATATTTATGAAAATATTTCTCTGTGTGTATACTATATATATATATATATATATGTGGACTCTTTCCTTTGGATCATGTGTATTATTAACGCATAGTCAAAGAGCTGCTGTAAAATGAAAAACTTATGTATCAGATTGTCCTCCAAAACAATAAATTGATTTTAAAAGTATTGCTAACTTTTTTTCAGCTGGATCTGCTTTCTTGCGACCATGGGAATCTGTGGTTGTTGGTATAGTATGCGCAATAGTAGTAAATGCTTCAGCTCCCTTCCTTGATAGAATGAAAGTTGACGACCCAGTAGGAGCAGTAGCAGTTCATGGCGTTGGTGGAATATTGGGGATGGTTGCTGTTGGTTTATTTGTTGAAGCTGATCCTCTACTTAATATGACAAATGGGTTAAATGGAGTGTTTAAAGGCGGCGGCTTTTATTTCTTATTAGTCCAGCTGCTTTCCTGCGTTTGCACAGCATCTTGGAGCATGTTGACTACATTTATAATATTAAAAGTAAGTGCATTAAACTTTTAGAATTTTTTGCTTAATATTTTCCATATGACATATTCAAAATTCCATATAACATAAAACATATTAAAATAACTTCGTTCTTGAAACTCATTGTAAGTTTAACGTTAGAATGATTTACATAAAAGGGCATTAAGAAGACTGACTGATGAGAAAACTAAGAGAAGCAGAAATTAAACACAATTCTTGTTTCTTACTAAGTACGGTGTATTACGGTTAGTATTGTGTACGGTAGTTGATCTAGCCAAGTTTGACTCTGCATTATACATTCTATTCTAGTGTTTGCTATGTAATAAGTGTTTATTAAATATTTTGTAGATGATAGCACCTGGTATAATCTACGAAAATTTGCTTAGGGACAACAAAAGAATAATGTACTGTCAAGATCTAATTTCCCTAGAGAGGTTTCAAACGATATTTATAATTGCATGGCAATTTTGTGAGGCGGTTTTTAATGTGTTATAAAAGCATATTTGTGACAATATATCTCAAAGCTATTTGCTTGTGTTTAACAACTTAGCATTAGCTTTTAATAAAAACTGTTATAATCAGTTAATTAAAATAGAAAAAGAAAACAAATATTGTAAAAAGCTTTTAATAAAAACTGTTATAATCAGTTAATTAAAATAGAAAAAGAAAACAAATATTGTAAAATGTCCACAAAAAAAAAAAAAAAAAAAAAAATGTTTTCTTCAGTTAATTTCTTTAAAAGTAATAAAAAAATGGAAAGAAACAAAATAAAAAAACTTTGCTTTGAAATAAAATAAAAATTTCAAAAGTATCCCTCAAAGATGCTCACTCACTTGTGGAGGTTCGCATATTTTTGGAGATACGTATGCCACAATTTGAGAATACCTTTTCTAGCATTATGTTTTGGCATCCCAGGACAACAACTAAGCAAATAACTTCAAGGCCTTTGCAGAAGCGTTGGAGTTTTCTTGATTATCGTGTATTTTGAGATAATTTTCAGTCACGTAATCTTGCACGAAAAATAAATCTGATTAAATTAGATTAGCACAAAATGCCAGCCGCTTATTGGAAGTAAATTTTGTCTAGTGACAACTTCTGAAGAAGGGGAACGTCTTCTTGAAACGTTCAGATGCATCCCCCTAATTACGTATAGTCAAACAAAAATAACAATCCTGTCATGAGATTAATCTACAGTAGCACGACAAAGTTATTTTGGAGGCTGTTTCGAATATGTACCGTCAAGGTATAGTTTATTGCTAGAAATATGCAAACTGCTTTGAAAATTTTACGTTCATTTGTCTCTATACTGCTACAATATAAACTACCAGATGTAGATAGATATTTTACTTTTCATATTTAACGTATTATGTCCCTCTTTGCGTCGTATACTGAAGCTTCCCATGCAAGGAACAATGAGAAAAGGCTTACTTAAAATAAGCTTCTGTTTTCCCTTTTTATGATGCTTCTAAGTACTGTTACTGGCACACATAGTTTGCAGTATAAAATGTAATGCTAATCATTTGCATGGACTATCTAGATCTAAGCGAAGCGCGAAAATCAAGCCTACTGGACGCTTCGTTCATGGTGTTGCATTTTGGATGGCCAGCAGTCCCAGTCTCTAGTAACCAGTTATTAATACTTTTGCCAAACTTCTTTTGTCATTATAGTTAAATTTTGTCCTGTCTGCATTCTGGTAACAGAATGATCGGTACTTACGTATTAATGCCACCACAGCTGCGCATTTGGCGGTATTCAAGTGCCGCCAATCTACACCTAAAATTTTTGCGACAATCATAAATTAAAACACTTTATTTAAAATAAAAGTAGTCAATCGTATTTCGGTGGAAAATGGGCCGATATAGAGTTTAACATAGATGTTTAACATAGATTCAAAACAGTCTCTAAATTTCTTTGACCTGATGCTGTCGCTATATGAACTCTGCTAAATAAGATTCTAAATGATGTCTCGCTGTTCCCCTATGTCTCTTGTTCCTCCGTTTAGCACTGCCCCACATTCTCTTAACTGTTTGTGTATGAACTTCTGTATCAGGACCAATAAAATTGTATTTATGATTAACTTTAGCATTTATGAATCCTTCTTTTTCTATTCTATTTGTTTGGTAACCTTTCCAACTGTCAGAATAAATTGTGCTACCATCTGTAATGTTTTCAATAATTTTATTAAGAAGGGTAGAGCCAGTTCTATTAGGAACAGTGACAACAAACGAATCTTTTGTTTCTCTACATTTACCACCAAACACCCACTGTTCGGGTAATACTCGACCACAATTATTTTTACGCTTAGTAAACAAACTTTCATCAATTTCCACAATGTAATCTGGTCCACCTACCTTCTTCTTTGGTTTACTTTCATATCCAAGACACATAATTCACTCATGTAATTGTTCCAATCTATAACAGTTTTATCCGATAAATCAATCTACTTTTCACAAAATTTAATCGAAGTTAACTCCTCGCACCAGCAGTATATGAATCAAAGCTGAACAAAATAGAATTCTGCTTCCTTCAAACCAGTTGTCTTTTTGCAGATCACACTGTCTTCATTACATTTCCAAAACGTACGTTTACGAAAATAAAGTTTCATATCATGCGAATTGGTACATTTTCGTTTCTTTTTTTTTGGGGGGGGGGGGGTAAAATATTTCGCTCCTGCAAAAATAAAATTGCATCTTCTTCTCTGTTTGGCAAATTCCAAAGATGCATTTTCGTAGCACTAAAAAATGGCGTCAGAAATCAGCAGACAACAAGGCAAAAAGGAATCCAAAAAATAACTGCGTGCCAACAACAGGATTTCTCTTTATTGGCGCATCAGCGCAACTTTTGCTGCGATGGTGTTAATACGTAAGTGCGATGGCGTTAATATGTAAGTACTGAATGATCTTTTAGAAAAGTCTTAAGCTACCTTTTAAATCGAATATTGTTTCCTTTCTAGAGATCATATTGACATTCTTTCGCCAACATTGGAGTGGTTTACCTATGGGTAACTTAAATACGAGCCAGTTTCCATTAGAAAGTCCTTCACGAAGACATTCCTTCCCTTAGACAGATAACCCTCATGAACTTTGCCATATTCAATTAACCTAACTTAACCTTTATCAATACTGCTTCATTGTGCTGTAGAGTCATTAGGTTTTTCTTTAGCAGGAAACATGAAAAATGTACAGTGCCCTTGCCGGGACTTGAACCCTGGACCTCTCGAATACGTGTCGTGTATGTTACCAATTACACAGTTCTTTACGCATGCCACTAAGGCATGCATAAATCAGGGCGAAAATCCCTTATAGTGCTTAAAGGCTTCGCTTTAACCGAGAAATACGTATTTTTCTGGTTAAAAGAAATTTGATACGGATGCATTTGAAGTAGAATATTTGACAAGCATTTGAGACAGTTTTTAATCCACAGAAGAATATTTATTTTCTCGATCAGTCGACCTCAAAATACATAGGTTTTTGTGTCGCTAATATTTTTGCTTTCCCCTTTCCTTTTCAATTTTGTTGTTTTGGAATGGGCAATAAATATTAGCTTTCTCAGCTGTGCTGTTAATCATTTTCAATTCTTTTAACACATAGTTTTTATCCTTTCTTTCATCCATTGCCCTGCAACAAAATTCACCAAACATATCAGTCTTGGCTGCCGTAATAGTAGGCCACAACTATCTCAGTAAATGGACCATGTGTCCCACTTCTGATTTCGATTAACAAAAGGCTAATTGAATGAATTATGCGGCAAGACTTATTAGAGAACAAATTTAGTATCAAATTTTGTAATTCAAAATTAATAACCATTTTAAATTGGTCCACAGCATAAACTGTTTGAAAAATAATGATCCAGAAATGAGCCTGCTCGCAGACTTCATAAAATATTAATTTTATGTACTTTTAGTGTAATGTATAAAATATTAAGCGCACGTTTAAACAGATTACGGCATCTTAGTGTTAAACGATAGTATTTAGAATAATACTGAATGACGATTTATCTCTTAAAGAAAGAAATACGAATGCAGGAAAAAATTCTTTCTTTGACCATTCCTGGAAACCATTTTGCGAAGTCATAAATAAGTAGGTTACTCAAACTGTGCTACTGTAAGATAATAGATAAAAGTGTTAACCAATGAGCAGTTACTCTACTATCCTTTAAGTATGAGCATGAAGCTTATTTTCCAAGTTAGGAAATTGGTGGCCCATTGTAGGTGCATTTACTCTATAAATCGTCCAGAAGCTATGCTATCATTAACTTATTTCACGTTGATTTACGTATGCTTTATATATAGGAAAGCAGTATGGTGGCTACCCTTTTTTTTTTTTTTTTTTTTTAGATTAGACTCAACAGCGGCCAAATGGTAAAAAGTAGCTGAACAGTAGTAGTTCTGTCTGGAGTTTCAATTCCGGCAAACGGACAGGCTGCAGGGACGTTTTCGTGGTTTTCTCCACGTGTAACGTGTATACGAACCTTTTTCCGTAAGAAAGTCCTCCACGAATACATCCCTTCCCTTAGGCAGTTAGTCCTTGAGTGTTTTACCTTAATTAAATAAACCAAACCTTCTTGAGATTAATGGGGCTTGTGACTGATTTTTCTGCAGACTTCATGCTATCAGATTACCTCTTTCACACGCCACGAAATGTCTTGTTTCTACGGATAACAGTGATTAAATTTTAAGTTGTTCAAATAATGTCCCTCGTGCCTGCGTATGCCCTTATTTTGGCAGGCAGAATAAAAATTTAAGTCTTACCTTCTACAAATGCGTTGCAGGCTATATTTATATATTTCGCATTTCTGTTTAAATATTTTATTTTCTCATATAGACTAGTATTTCTGACATGTTATTAAAAAATAAGGCTTCTGTATCTGTATTTACATTTAGCTCATAATTCACAATTCTTCCCTACGTTATACTGTACATGATTATTCTTAGAATTAATGAGAACAAATTTTTGAAGCCCACAGAAGGAAGAGGTAGTAGAGGCATCTAGAAGGGGAACCTTTCGATTAAGATTTTTCTCTGTTAAGCCATCATCTTTGTAGTAGTTTGTACGTTAAACCAAGTATATAGTAATTTTTATGAGTTTGTCACAGGCAAAACCATAGAGAATTCTCGGGCAGCGTAACACGATAAAGTTCTGAAGTATTTTCTCCCTCCTTACAGCGTGCCTTGTAATGCGATCGGAGTTCGAATCCTGGCGAAGTTGTAACTAATTTTTGAATTTTCTGTTTCGAAATAAGCCTGTACGAAGCTCGAACTTACAAAGTGAGAACCTAAGGAATCTACAAAGTTTCGAGCGAAATTTGAAAAATTTGGTTCTCATACGTTGTAAATGTTACTTTTGTTGTTCTGGCTTCGCCTTAAATCTTCATGTGGTACTAGACGTTCATAGTCGGAAGAAAGAATGTTCTGGATGATCAGAACGCAGACATTCTTCAACTTCAAAAGCTGAGAAAAATGTGAATCATAGCGGTCCAGTTAGCTCAGAGTCGTAGCTAGGGTTTTCAGCGCTCAGGGACAACTGAAGATTTCGCGCCTCCTACTGCTTGCCAAGGATGGAAAACATTTAATTCTAAAATGTCGTAACATCAGTTTGGCGCCCCTTGGATTCTGCGCCTGGGGACAGATGCCCCCTCTAGCTACGCCCCTGAGTTAGCTTCAGGTAATCGAACATTTGAGAAAAGGGAAAATTGTGAACTTGCAAAAATAATTTCCTGTAAAGCTTTAAAATTCTTGTGAAAATAATTTCCTGTGAATTTTAGCTCGGAAGATATCACAGTGTTCCCAATCTACCTTAAAGCCTTGAATCTGCTCCAAAGGATTCATTTTATTCCCCAACCTCAAAACTTATCTCAAACGGCATTATTTGGGAACAATTAATAATATGCATGAAGTTGTGACTTCGAACTTGAGAAACATCTCAAATGAAAATTTCTTAGAGTGCTATGAATACTGGCAGTAATGCATAAATTACTATATTCGATCTCAAAGCATCTGTTTTGAAACTTGTAAACCATAGTTATATCATTGTAGTACAGTTGGATTATTGTAGTTCAGTAAAAAATATTTTTTTAAATCATTTTCTCTATATTTTTAACAAAATACCTACTCCCAATTTTACATCTTATTCGAAGTTGCTTCTCCCTGTTATACTAAACATCTGAGCAACTTGTGAGTTTTCTTAACATTTGTAATCAAATTTATGTACATCTTCGATAGAGAATAGAAGCAGAAATAAAACTACTGTAAAACATTTCTGATTATTTTATAATGTATCTTTATAGTTAATTCTAAATCTTTTTCAGGGTATCAATTTAGTAATCACTATTAGGATGAAACCACCTGAGGAACTGCTGGGTGCTGACTTCAATGAACATGATATATACCATGATGGATACGATTATAAATCAATGACAGCACAATTAATTAGACAAGGTTACCAAGTGCATACCTTGCATCCACACGTTCTACCAAGAAGCGAATGGGATGAATATCTGATCGAAAAATATCTACCACTTATTCAAAATGATCAACTCATAAATCAACGAGCTATGTGGACAAACAGATCAGAAAATGCAGGAGCTTTCAACGTAATCAAGAAACGCATGAAATATTGCTACAAAAGATGTATTATATCCTAAAAATTGATTTAAACCATGCTGTTGATATACAGTATTAAAAGCCTATTTTAACTGATGGATGCAGCATAATTTCACTTAAAACTTTGCAACCTTTCTACTGCTCATAAACCTCAATGAGATTCTTAAAAAGTGATTTCTTATTTCGGTAAATAAAATTTTTGCATGCATCACATTTGCGTATCAATTTAATCATTAAATTACAAAACAGACATAAAGCTATTTGCATTTCTTAACAGAATTATTTTTTTCATATTATGAGACACAGTATTTATCAATCAACTTCTTAAACAGACTAATTAAAACAAATTTCGTGTTAAAAAATTTATTTAATTTTTTAATTTGTTTCGCAAAGTATATAAAATGTAGCCTGATTTAATAACGGTGCATTATTTTCTAGAAAATTCTTTTACGTGCTAGATAAATGTGAAAATTTCCATGTGATATTTTACTAGGATTAAATACATTATCTTCTGCTTCTTTACTGATATTGGATTAATTTTAATTTTCTTTTCGCAGTACTAAATAACAGTTGCTTATTTCTATTAAACATAATTAAGGTTGTTTAAAAACTTGCTTGTAATTTATAAATAGAATAGCAACTTAGATATATGTTGCTTGATTGATAACATTCATTAATACAAATATCTAGAGTTCGTGAGTTAAACATCTGCGTTTCAAAAAGAATCAATAACATAAATATTTAATTCAGTCACATCTTCCAATTTAGTACGCATTCGTAGTTAAAGAACACAGCAAAGGACAATGGATAGATTTTTGGATACTCTGTTTTTGTCATTAGTTTAATAGAATTTTATTAAAAAAAAAAGTCGGCCATGACACATGACATTAAATGCATCGTTTTTTTCCGGGGGGGAGATAATAACTTAGATATAGGTTACCCACATTTAAATCGTTACTATATGTGAGGTATACATTTCAGAACTTTTGTAGGCAACAACAGTTAATTACACGGTGATATTACTCCAAACCAAACTAGTCACTCGCATTGAGTAAGAAAAACAATCTAACAATGTTGAAAAAGTGTTTCAAAATGAATGATGACGTGAAGATTAGAAATTTCGCTTAACCAGAAAAAAAAATTTACAAATGTCATTTGGCAGAGAACTACTGGCTTGCAATGTGACTGGAAATTTTTGTAATGTTACAGTCTCGAATGTGACCAATCGGAAAATTACGTATGAGGATGCGACATGGATTATGACGAGTTCTTTCATAATTTTTACGATGCAATCAGGTAAGTGATGCTATTTATTCCAGCTTAAGTGTTAACGCGGAAAGGAAAGAATACAAGTAATACTGTCTAGTATTGATTAATAATTCATTTTATTACTATTAGGATAAGTGCACCTCCACAAATGTAGCAGGGTTAACGGGGTAAGTGATAACAATTTCAACAGCGAATATTAGCTAAAGTGAAAAACTATTCCTACTCTAAGCTATTAAAAAGTGTTCAAAATTAAATATTCATATAAATATGAAATGAAATTTCTTCACAAATAGTTTAAAGCTATTTACTTTAATTTAAATTAATAATAAATAAATTTATAATTAAAAAATATGAATTTTATTTGTAAAAATATAATTAACTAATGTAAATTGATTTATTTTAATTAAAAATATATTACATTTGATCGTATGTTGCCTCTTACTCCGTCATACGCTTGTAGCTTTTTACTTTCATATCCTTTGATTTACAGTTTTTTTAATTGCTGAAACAAAATGTAAAGTTTCGATCCAACTTATTAAACGAGACAAAGAAAAAAAATTAAAATTTTTAAAAGGTCTTTCATCGCTTAATACAATGTCTGAATATCTCGGAGAGTTAGAATTGCTGCGACGTAGAATTTTTACAAATTCTCAATAATAATTCAAAACAAGAAGCAGAAGCCAGACATTCAATCATGTAAACTTTGCCTGCCTAATTTTCTTTGATGCTGTTTAACAGAAATATTTTTACAGAAATATCTAAATTCTGAGAAAGTTTTATAACATAATTAGCATAAGCCATTTCTTCATTTAACATATTTTTGGAAGTTAATTAATTTAGTGAAAATTAAGAAATTTACAATAATCCTTATTCTAAGTTTTATATCATTAATTTTTATCTTCGTTTTGTTATATTCATATAACTCAAATTGGAAATATTACTTAATTAATAGGCTTAATTTTTATACCTTTCAGAAGTACGAATTACAACAAAAAGCGAGCTTCTTGCTTTTAGGGATATATATTTAATATTTTGGTCACTTTTTGCAATGTTGAAACAAAAAATGATGTCATAAGCTAAGGTAGAATTTTGCCTAAGATATGAAATTAATTTTATGTGTTTTTAGAAAGCAATTGTTTTACGCAAGGCACGTTACTGCAGTCTTATCTGTTAAGTTACTGCAGAATATATTCCGCTGAATGAACAGCTTTGCTAAATATATTTCTAGTTTAAATTTTTATTTTAGATTTTTTTAAAAATTTTGGCAGCACTTTACACAATGCTTCTAATGCTGTACATGAATACATACACATGAATAAAATGATTTAATTCCTTAAAACAGCATTATTAGAGCCGTAAATTCTAGCGAAAAGTCTTAATGAAGTTTAAGAAAGAAATTTATACGAGTATTTTATTATTGTTTGAGCATGTTTTCAACAGAAACTAAGCTTAAAGTAAAATTCTAAATCTGATACATTATAAAAACTTATCATATAACAACAAAATATTCAAATTAAAAGTTACAGACATTAAGATATCAAGCAGGTGTGCAGTTTTCAGAAAGACAAAGATTTACATTCATAATATAATTTAGTAAATTTGTGCTATTGCATAATTTTGTGTATTAAAAAGCATAGAAACAAGTTCGTCGCATGGAACAGAAATCTTAAAAACAAAGTCTTCTGAGAAAAAAGGTAAAATAATTCTTTTTTTTTAACTAATCATTTAACTAAATCTTTAACTTTTATTAAAGAATGAAACAATTCTATCAAATACTTAAATTTTATGTTTATACTCGTAACTCTAGGATACGAACTGGTGGCGGATTGAATTAGTTCAAAAACACTGCAATGATTAGAGAAGCAATATGTTATATAACATGACAAAAATCTAATACTCCACTCATGATTCGAAAATACCGCTTTCCAAACATACATGTTGTATTTCTAATCATATAACGCATAAAGATTGCGAAGTGTTAAAAATGCATTGCATAGTTTTGGAATTAAACAAATCAGTTAATTGAAGATTGCATTTATTTTGCTAAACGTATTTATGTGTTATGTGAGACTGAAAATATTTTAAACTTTTCATTAGGTTTTGCTCTTCTGGAATCAGGCAGCGTTAATCGAAAGAATGAAGTGAATGTTATGATGAAGAATATTGTGGACATGGTTTTCGGTGGACTAAGCTATTGGATGTTTGGATACGGAATGAGCTATGGCACTTCAGAAGGCACGAATCCTTTTTTCGCAGTAGGAAGTTACTTTGTAGATACTTCCGAAACAAATATGGGGTATTTATATGCGACATATATTTTCCAGTTATCCTTCGCATCAACAGCAACGACTATAGTGTCAGGAGCTGTAGCAGAAAGGTTCAATTTCACTGCATACTGCGTTTACTCTTTTTTAAATACTTTTGTATATTGCTTGCCAGCTGGTTGGATTTGGGGCGAACATGGATTTCTCAACCACTTGGGTATCGTGGATATTGCTGGTTGCTGCCCAGTTCATTTGGTAGGTGGCGCATCGGCTTTGGTCGCTGTTATGATGATTGGTCCCAGAAGAGGAAGATACGATCGACAGAAAATATCGCCAACTATTCAGTCTCCAACTAATGCTATGTTAGGAATGTTTGTGCTTTGGTAAGTAATTATCTATCTTAATTAAAAAGAGTATTAAACTAACAACAAAATTCAAAATTACGCATTGCTTTTATTCTAAATTAATACCTTATAATAAAAATAAGGAACATTTTCATTGCCATTTAGTACTAGCATAATGTTTTCATTAATATGATGCTTTTTATGAAGTAATTAAAAAAATCAGAAATTCTTTTACATAAATTACTAGTATGTTATAGTAATATTAAAATATTTCAGCGAATGTTTCAGCGAAAGGTATGAAGAAAATTCTATAAAACTTCGACGTTGTTTTGTAAGGTCAAACTCAGTTTGGTATAGTCTAAGCCAGGGATGGGCAAACTTTTTCGGTCGAGGAGCAAAAATCGAAAACAAAAAAATTGGTGGGCCAAGATAAATTTTTCTAAAATTTTAAAAACAATATACAAGTATTATAATTTAAATATGTTAATGAGATGAATGAAAGTGCGATTTCATTTTTAAAAGTTCCTCTTATTGAGTTTCGAAGTGAGATGTACTGATTCTAAGAAACGAGGCTAAATGCTCATCTGTCAGTCTACTTCTGAAATAATTCTAAGGTTCATAGTTGAAGACACTTGTTCACATATATAAGATGAAGCAAACATTGCACTGATTTCTGGGCGTGAGGTGTTAAATTTGGGAAACTTACTTTCGATAATGATTTATAAATCTCTAACTTTGGCCTATTTAGAAAAAACTGCTTGAGATGATAGTTAGATTGCAACTCAAATAATTCAAGCTGCAAATCTGACCTTACTGCTTCACAATTTACGTTGAAAGGCATGGTAAATTATCCAATTCTGCTTGAATGGCACTGAAATCTTGAAATCTGGTTTCGAACTCAAAATGCAGTTTTTTCAAGCCATCTTCATAATTCTTTAGCTTCTCTTCATTCACTGAGGGTATTGAATTTAACCTTGGGAAATGAGAGAAGTCGTTCTTAGCTAGCTACCCACCAAACAGATTAAGTTTTATTATTAAGTTTTAAGTTAAGATTAAGTTTTTTTCTAAGAGGTCTAATTCCCCTATACTGGATTTCCATATGTCTGCTCCCCGAGAAAGAGATAACTCTTGTTGGCCCCAATTTACAGCTATAACTAACAAAGAACTTCCGCTAAACACTTTACCGATTGAAAGCTGTCTGTGCTTGCTATTTCCGTCAATTTATGTTTTTAGAACAAAAAAATAGAAAGTAAAAAGATCATCAGCCCTTTGAAAAAAAGGAAGAAAAAAATAATATTTAAACAAAGTAGAAAAGAAGATGGTATAATATATAAATACATATTTCTTTTAATTTGCCTCGGACCGGCAAATTTAAATTCTATCCATGGGCCGGATAGAATCTTCCGGAGGGCCGTAGTTTGCCCATCCGCGGTCTAGCAGTAGTCTAACTTTCTTACACTGTTGGACAAATTATCATCCCTTCTTTACCTTTCAGCCCCAGAACACTAAGCAACTATAACAAAGTAAAACAAATGCTTAAGATTTATTTGTACTACAAGTAAATCTTTAATTTGTTTTACTCTTATTTGTAAAAGCTACTTGTTACATTGTTTTACTTTTACTTGTGTTACTGTTTGCTCTAAGTTGACTTCTTGGGAGTTAGACATACGATAATGATTCAAATTACTTACAAGTCGAAGTTTAAATTTAGGACTTAGTAGCCTGGCTTTTGTGGCTATCAACGTAATTTCAACGTAACGTCACCACTATCAACGTAATTTCAATCAAAGATAAACTCACCATCTCGTAGCACAGCGCTAAGTACATATACCCCAACAGATGAGCATCAACACAGCAGGGTGAGGTTCGAATTTTTTTCTTTTAAACTTAGATTCTCGATTTTTATTTAAAATCCAATTCATTTACATTTTTTAATTGAGGTAGCCAAACAACAGAATTGCAAAAAAAATTCAATGAAGGAAACAGCGTGTTAACTAAAATTAACCGTATAGGTCTATACGGAGATGTTTTTAAAAGATTATTGTCCTTTATGCTTCTATTAACGGGAGATCCGCAATTGAAATAATTTCGACATTAGGAATACATCGAAATAGAAAACTTAAGGAACAGTCTGATTTTCTCCTATCGGTTTTCACTGGAGTAGTATATTGAGAAAAACCATGCAAAAGATATCTTCGGAGATATGGAAGCGATGAAGAAAACAACACATTAACAGTAACTGGTACAAAATGCAGAAACAGGCTTTGGACATTGGACTACACTGGTTTCAATATAAACAACAAATTGAAAAGTCTCTATAAATCGGCTAAAAGTAGTTCAAAATTCTTGAAAGTTTGAATGTGTTACAAATAAAAGTAAGGTGCGTGTAAAGCCATTTACAAATGAATGCTACTGCTATCGTATCACGTAAATATAATAGAGCTTAAAATCAGCTGTTTAGAAAAATTGCTGTTTAAGAAGTGCATATTAAACAATTTCGAGATAGCCCAAGTGTAAAAATGTATTCGAGGAACATTTGCCACCAGAATTAGGTATAGAAACATAGGATAAGCCGATTAGAAACATGTCAACGGCAGTCTAACGCTGTAAGATGGCTAAATATCGACTGTTCCGAGGCAAGACTGTTGTAAGACCAATCTCCGACTGCTGGTTCATCCTGACGAAGACTAACGAAAGCAGTTACCCCTTCTGCAGATGACCAGTATTTGCAGTTGACGAAATAGAATTGCATCTCTATCTCAGCTCACATCCGCACTTATTTCTACTACAGGAAGCACAGTATCAGCTACGTCAGTACGCAGATAGCTGCATGAAAGGGATCGGTACTCTAGGCGACCGGTATTGTGCTTCTCACTTACGTCCCGCCACCTAAAGGAGTGTTTGAAATGGGCACGTAGTCGCAAATTGAACTGAAAATCATTGGAGATCTGTTCTGTTTACTGATGAGGCCCGTTTTGTTTTACAGTGTAATTCTCGACGTACTTACATATGGAGAAAGGCAAACACTCTATATCTTCTATCTAACATACAGGAGAGGGATAGCTATGCAGGAGGTGGTGTTCCTTGTTTAGGGAGGAATATCGTTAGGTGGGCGCCTAAACCTGTATGTGCTGCCAGGCGGCATTCTCAACGCACAGAGGTACAAAGACGGCGTGCTAAATTCTATTGTTCGTCCATATGCTGCTCGCAATGAGCGAAGCCTTCAGTTTACAAGCAGATAATGCACGCCCTCCTACTACTTGCCTCGTGCACTAATGTCTTGAAGAAGAAAATATAGTCGAAATGTAATGGTCAGCACACTTTCCCGACTTTAATCCTATTAAACATGCATGGGACGCTTTCGGGAGGTGTAGTAATGGCCTCCCAGCACGTCCCCAAATCATAGATGAACTTAAAACTACTTTACATGATCAGTGGGCATTGATACCCGGGCAACTCATTGCCAATATCATAAACAGCCTAGGACATCACTTTCAGGCTTGTATTGTTGTTCGAGGTGACCATAATCACTAATGAGAATTTTTTATTTTGTATTTAACTTGCATAGCAGAATTCAGGAGATTTTATGCTCCTATCACAAGTTGTAAACACTCTGTGTAACATTTTGTTTCTAAGTTACAAGTGGTATAATAATTATTATCACCAAGTTTCGTCCAGTTTGCTTTTATACTTTTGAGTTACCATTAGCTTTCCTTTGACTGTTTACCTTTTGGAAACCAGTGTAGCCGTGTCACTTAGACGTATACACGTAAAATATAGAGATGGTGTTGCCTTCAGTATGGTTATAATCACTCGAAAAAGCGATGCATGTCCAAACACACACACACAAAATTAAAGCATTTACATAAATGCATTTACTATTAATTACATTTACTGTAAATGTCATATTTGGAAAGAGTTACAGATTGGAAAGAAAAGGGATTTAACAGCCCGAGGTTCACCTGAAAGTATTTTAACATCTTGTTAAGAATAGCATTGCATCTAACAGGAATGAAATTAACTTTTTATATTTTTTAAAGGTAGAATGAAATTAAGGACAGTTTTTATCCTCCTTTCATTATCTTTTCTTAATATTTTTAAAAAATACCCAATTCTTCCAAATAAATTTTAAAAGCTGAAGATTGGGGACTGAATACAAATTAAATTAATTCCGTAATTAGCACAAATTAAATGAAAACGAAAGAGACATTTTTGGAAATATACTATTTAGTTAAGATAACAGATGCATATAATGAATGTAGCCCAGTAATAATAAAATAAGTATCGTACATTTCCGACTATTAACCTGTTCCGTGTATAGGTCAAGAAGCAAGATTTTGCTGCAAGAATTCGACCAAAATTGAAAACTCATATATAAGCCAAATTTAAATCGGACTGTAAATCTAACTATGCATATCATTAAATATGTGAGATTAGGGTAAGTTATCTGAATGCAGGAAAGCACACGAAAAGTCATCTGTCTAAAGGTAGGTATGCCTTCTTAGAGGAGTTTCTTTTAGAAACTCGCTTATATTCAAGTTAGACATGGGAAAAACCACGAAATCAACCATGCAGCCTCCTTTCGCTTGGGATCGAACCCGGCTCGAACTCCCATTATTCATCGGTCTTACCACTCGGCCACTGGTGAGGTGCTAAACGTGAGAAAACTGTTTGTCGAGCTTATCTAGACTTACTAGATAAGCTGTAGTTTAACACCAAATTCACTTTCAGCCTCTGTTCAAGAAATAAGTGTAAGAGCACAGCAAAAAAAGTTGTGGCAATTACTTTCAAGCAATCAACATGATTTTTACACTTTAGGATGAGTTCTTATTTTCACGAATATATTAATCTCACTTTTACCGCAGAGTCAAATACGTTTCCTGCTAGTTTTAAAAGACATCATTTTTGCTGAGTAGTGTTACGAATGGAGTTGTAGAATATATTGTCGACTAGGTGGATGACAAAGATGATAATGGTGAAATGGAGGAAAATGATACTCACTTAGACTTACTTCGAACAATGATAGACGTCAGAGAACTGTCAGAAAATTCCGAATCGGATACAGATATTAAAAAATTTAATAAAATATTTGAAGTTGCCTAATCTGTAATGTCGGTTTCGATATAGAATTCTTTTTAAACCATTTTGAACTCATATATAAGCCGACCCCAAAACTTCAGTAGCAAAAAAATTATTAAAATATCTGGTTTACACATGGAACTACATGGTACTCAAATACAGTATCAAGGATATGCCGCAAATCGGGATAAAAGAAAAACTTTTTCCGGATTAAACAAATTTGCTTGACCTTTGCTGCAAAGATAGGAAGGAGTTGCATTTGTATATATTGCTGAACATCGAAAATCGTATGGTTACTTATCATAGAAATCGAAAGGAATCTCTGTGCCCTTGAGTAACTGAAATAAACTAGGCAGATTTATTTCAAAAGATTTAGTTCTTAATCATTCTTTTTTAATAAACCTCTTATATATAACTCTAATTAAAGCCACGACTACTTTAAACAAAATGAAATATTTAATTATTTAAATAAGTGCAACAGTGAACAAAAGTGGTTATTAATATAATTAAGACACAATAACACGCCGAATAAATACTAATTCAGAAGTCAAACAACAAAAATCAGCGTTATACCTACAAAATTTTCACAGGACTAGTTTCGATGGTTTTACCGAACCATCATCTTCAGCTGCAAAACCGCAAATGAACAAGATAGGAAATAATGATTAGATAAGATAAGAAAGCCAGGACAAGAATAAGCAAGTGGCGCCATCTGTTGGCGAAACCAGAACTAAAACATAATTTCTCTAAAAGCCGAAGGCAAATTTGGATTGGAATTAGGATCGTTAACTAGAACAGAAATATTTTTATGAATGTGAAATGGCTCTAGAAAATCCAGTTCTCCAATGGAAGATGTTTTTTGAATAATTTTGGCAGCAGAAAAATTGAAAGTGTGATTTTCGGACCAACAATGACAGAAAACTTCTGTGTTTCCTTTTTTCTAACATATGCCTCATGTTCTTTGACGCGAAATTTTAAGGCTCTCTTAGTTTGGCCAATGTAAATTAAACCACACTGGCAAGGAATCCTATAAATACCCCAGGAATTCATATGCGGAATGGGGTCCTTGAGTATAGAAGTTGGAATTTTATTGATGAGAGAATAAACAACCCGAAAGTTAAATTTCTGCAAAATATGTGCAACTTTATAGCTAATTGATGGAAAGAAGGGAATGACAACAGAAATTTTATAATCTCCTAAAATAAGAGTGTGGCTTTTAGTGTGTTCAGATGAGAATTTTTTAACTGCTTGATTAATAATGTTGGGGTGAAAAGCCCCTGTCAATAGCTATTGCTTTTAAATAATTTAGTTCTTCATCAAGGGCTAGTTTGGAGGAGCAAACTTGAAGAGCACGGAAAACATAGGAATAAAATGAAGCTAACTTTTGTTTAGTCGGATGACATGATTTAAAGTGTGGTGGAAGGCAAACCGATGAAGGTTTACGGTAAACTGTAGTACTGAAGTTGGATGTGTTACGTGTGACCAGAATGTCGCGAGAAACGGAAGAGAATTGCAAGTCTCAAGTTCAAAAGTGAACTGAATAGCAGGATCAATAGAATTCATTGTTGAAAGAACTTATTTAAATCATCTTTATTACCTTCAAACAGGGTAAAAGTATCGTCTACGTAGCGGAACCATGCCGGGAAGTTTAAAGTTTCAAACAATTTTGATTCATAATAATGCATGTAGATATCAGCTAGGATGGGACTGAGGGGGCTTCCCATGGCTAATCCCTCAGTTTGTTTGTAATATTTATTTTGGAAAACAAAATGTGTTTGTTTCAAACAGAGTTGAGTGAGAGAAATTAGCTGGTTCTGGAAATTAGCTGGAAATTCTGGTTTCGCCGACAGATGGCGCCACTTGCTTATCTAATCATTATTTCCTATCTTGTTCATTTGCGGTTTTGCAGCCTGAAGATGATGGTTCGGTAAAACCATCGAAACTAGTCCTGTGAAAATTTGTAGGTATAACGCTGATTTTTGTTGTTTGACTTCTGAATTAGTGTTATTAATATGCTTTAATAATTTAAATGACTCATTTAACAAACAAGGAGAAGAATTTATAGAGTCATTAGGCATTTTTGAAGCAGGAGATGTGAAAAATGTATTCTCGCCGGGACTCGAACCTGGTCTTTAATACGCGCTGAGTGTGCTACTTTTACACCACTTAGGGATGCTAGAAAGAGAGAGAAAATATCTTATAAACTGTAATACTGTTGCATGACAACCATTCTAATAATGAGGTTGTAAATGCTTCATAAAACTACTTCATGTATTTATTTTAAAATCTGAGTGCGATTTTCACAAGCTCAGAAGAGAAGTACGTAACTGAAATTAAAATCCAAACTCTTTTTAAGATTGAATTACTTGAAATAATAGCAAAATAAACTCATCTTAGTACCTCGATTGCGTGAAAAAGGAATCTTGAAAACTGAAAAACTAATGTTATATTTGCTGAAAGTTTCTTTCCTTCAATTAAAAAAGTTTATTTGTAATTTAATTTATATTCTTTTTCTAATTATATTATCATGAATTTATATTTTTAGATTTATTTCATTCTGTTAAAAAATTTTAAGAGTTTAGTGAAAATTAAAATTGTAAAACATTTAGTCACTTTTAACTGAATACCGATTGCAACTAAAAAGGATTATTTGTTTACTTATGCTTAGAGTAAGAAGGTAACAGGTGTGTGTAATATATAAATTGTTTAGAAAGCTGATTTTTTTTTTTTTTTCTTTCTTTCTTTGCAGGTGGGGATGGCTAGGATTTAACTGTGGAAGTACGTTTGGTGTTACTGGTGCCAAATGGAAATATGCAGCCAGGTTATAATAACTTTAATAAAATTAAGCTATCTGGTTGCTTTAAAATTTATTTGCATTTCATCCGTATTAAATAGTTTAATAGTATTTATATAAATATAATTAATTAATTCATGGGTAATCTATTCATTATACAGGATGATTCAAAAGATTCCTTTGATATGCTTCATGCGGCGACAAACTGCTGTCCGATATATAGGTTATCAGATACAAATATTATGAAAAAGAAGTGTTCAAGAAACACTGGAATTGTTTCTTTAAATAGCTAAAACAAGTGATGAGAAATGAAAATTTTAACAAAGGGCTCATTTTTATCTCATAATCTCTCGTTTTTATCAGAAAAACAAAATATCCAACTTTAATTAAATGCTTCACTTTTAACAAAAAGATCAAAAGTAAATCTTTGCGCATAAACAGAAAACAATTTAAAATTTTGTTGAAAAAAGTTTAAAACATATCACATATGTAACAAGTAAATTTAAATATGCTACATAAATGATGGTTGAAACTGCCATATGTCATTTTGTTCTTCTTCACCTCAGTTGATCTTCTACGAGCGAGCACTCTAAAGCAAGTAATGATTTTCCCATAAGATTTCTCATCAGTTTTAGGAGCTGATAATCTTAACATTTTCCCATTTAAAACCTTTTCCTGCGGGAGGACTGGGACATAAATGCACCTCGCGTTCATTACATTAAATAAGGCTCAAAGAAATTTAATTTATTATGAAGATTTAAACTTTGCTACTTAATATGGAGAGGGAAACGGCAGATCCTGTCGATTTATTTATCTGTTCCACGCTGACAGAATAGTAACTAAATAGCTTCAAATACTTAAAAAAATTAGTCCCTATAATCCACGAAAAAGGGTTAAGGAGACTGTCATTAAATCTGAAATATATCGCGTAGTCAAAGAATGTCTTATTGTAGAATTACTATTCATTCAGCAGAAAGCTCGTTCAGCTTTAGTGTTACTAGGAGAGGAAGTCTCCATATAATACTTAAGCATTCTTTACACTATTAGAAATTTCATTATACAGTTTCCCTGTTAAAGCCGTCGCAATGAAACCCCGAGATTCGCTGATTTTTATTTCATACTTTTATACGATATTCAATATTCGTCAAAGTATGATTATGATATGCAAAACTGTATTTTCGTTGAAATAATTAAGCAAGCGAACAAAAAGAATAATAGAATCGCAAATGAGAGAAAAACCGAACAAAGGGCCTGCACAAGCCGTCTATACCTCATTACTAGGTATAACTTATAATAAACATAGTTAAATATTTTTTATTTTATTTTATTTTACGTTGTATACTTGACTGAAGATCTAAACATTCCATTTATACGTTAGCAGGTGATTTGCAGATCGGCTAAGTAACAAATACACTGAAACACAGTTAATGCTTCGGGAAACTCCGAAAATGTTATAAAAGAGAAATCACTGCCGCATATCTCATCCGTCTTTACATAATTTTGATGCAAGATTGTCTGAATTTCATTTTATTTTCCAGTGCTATCATTCTTGTATCATTAACAACTAGTTGCTTTTGCTCCCCAGGCTGGGCAAGGTTGACTCAGCCTTTCATCCCTTGAGTAGGTCGATGAAATGAGTACCAACTTCGCTTGGGGACTAAACACATGGGCTCCTGCGACAAGCTGACCACTTTGCCCAGGCAAGATGCACAAGTACCCCGGAGCCCACGGTCTAGAAAGCAGATATCAGGGCACTGTCGGCCATGGCTCTCTATGGGCTGTTTGTGTGTCGAGTTTAGTTTTTTAGTTGCTTTTGATCTTAAAGACTCATGTTCTGATCTTTTAAGTTAACAGTCAGATTTACTAAAATCATTCAATCACTTTTCCTGTTCAAATCCAGCATTGGTTGAGCAGGTTCTTTCTTTCATTTTTCCGTCTTACAATATAGGCAGCATCAACAGGCTTTGAAAACTGCTTGGAACAAACATTTGATACACGCATTTTTAATATAAACATCCAGTTTGATTCTGAAAACATTGACCATTTTCATCTATATATTTTTTATTTTTTCCACTGAGTATCATTTGGGCAAACAATATTTGGATTTTTTGCTTCCTGTAAATACATTTGTATCTCCTAAATATTACCCCCCCCACACACACACACTGATTGTTTTTATTATTAATGTGATAAAATAAATCACCACAATAAAATCTATTAATAATTTGTTTAACTCACTAAAGCCAATGACTAATCGCAACAACACTAAAGCCAATGACTGACATAAAAACATTCGAAATTTTTATCACTTCGTTAACACTTCTTAAATTCTTTCAACAGAACTTGTAATGAATAGGTTATGAGCAGAATCGCAGCGTAACTAAAACGTTAGGTTAGGTTATTTGAGTACAGCAAAGCACACGAGGACCATTTACGTAAGGGGGATTGATGCGTTCGTGAAAATTTTTCTAAGGGCACTGGCTCGTAATTACGTTACACATGTGGAAAACCAAAAAAGCAATAAATAAATAAATAAATAAATAAAATGTATTAGCCGGAAATGAAATCGCTGTTTGTGCTTGAATCAATGAACATAATATTTGAAAGCGATTTTTCCCCCTTAATATGCTCCTCGAATGCATGACTTATTATTACCATACTCAGAGCATATTATACAGAATTAGAAACGATATTTTAAATTAACGACAGGATTTTTTTTTAAGTGTCTTGATAAACTATAACTTTTTTTTATCTTGCAAAATTTTACGAAACTATACATCCAGATATAACTTAGCAAACACCCGATTTATCTTTAGAAGCATCCAATATATTAATCGAGTAATATTTTCTACGGCTTTTATAATTATTAAACTTGAACTACGTGCGCAAAAAAAAAAAATGAATTGCCTATTTTTTAAGTGAGGTAGACTTATTCAAGAACGTACTTCACTATTATTGTCGGTTTTGAATATTTTCAAATACTGAGATCTTTCGTTTTTCACTATGTCTACTAGATGGCGCCAAGAACTGAGCCTTCCAACTGGTCTAGGTTATCACCCAGAAAAATACGAAATAATTCATTAGGCTTCCGCTGGCTAAATAAGGAAACTTTGCAGTCTGGGATTTACGTTAACAACTTCACAGAAATTTTATATTTCATTAAAATTATAAAAAAAAAATTAAATTCTGGTATATAATCATGAGATCAAAGTTTCCATGTATTATTTACCTACTATATTTTACACGCACAAATATTTCTTTATTAGGTATAACGCTTTTTAAATTTGGGAAAAGTTTAATTCAGAATCAAAACCATCTCTCAGTACATTCTAGCCCCTTGCTCCAAAAATTTAAAAAAATTTTACTCAGCTTAGGTTATTTGAATAAGGGAAAACATAGGATGGTTATCTGAGGCATTTTTCCGTCGCGATCCCTTTTTATCGCTGAGATTTTTTCGCGACACCCAGGACTCCCATAATATTTACAAAAATTTTGTGGGACCGCATAAGTATTGTGGAAGTCCAACTCACGCGTGAGTGAAACTGTCAATTTTTTCACTTGTACTGTAATATACTATTGCAGTTTTTAGGTCATTAACTTTAATTTCTAATTTTAAGACTATGCCACGTGCAAAGCAAGGAAAATGTACGTTTATATTATAAAAAGAATGCGTCAAAACGTTTTCTTTCTTTCTTTCTTTTTTTTTTTTTTTTTTTTTTTTTGTCTGTATTGTCTTATCTTTATCTATTTTCAGATACATTGTGTAAAAATATTTGGTAATTGTAAAATTATAATAAGGTAAAGAAATATGAAAAACTACTAAAATTTTTGGCGACCTCCTGCTGCAGGTCCCACGATCCCCTCCGGAGTCGCGACCCACAGTTTAAGAAACGCTGATCTAAGGGAAAGAATGCCTTCGTGAGGGAGTTCCTATGAGAAAATGGCTCGTATTCACGTTGTGGGGAAAATAATGGAAAAAAAAATCTATGCACCTATAATCACCTAACATAACCAGATCACCTAACCTATATTCAAATCACCTAACCAAGCCAATACGGAAGTACTGATCAATTAAGTTAACTATGGTAGAAGGAACAACATTTCCACATTTTCTAAAGGATGCGATGTCTTCGTGGAGAATTTATAACGATAAAGGACTTCTTTTATATATTTGGTGGTCGTGTCTGCTTAATGCATGATATAATTAAAGAAAATAAGAGTAGACAATCTCCTATAACAAAAGAATATATTAAGTACTAAATTACAATTTAAATTACATTGCAGACATCAACGCAGAGCTCGGAACACAGTTCATGCTACCGTCGCGTACAGTTGTCTTGCGAGAAGTCTGAGTGAGTAATGACGTCGCTTTGCTGCTCCGATTAAGAACTGGATTTTACACGTGGCGCCATCTCATGAATAGAAGTTGAAGTATCTGTCGGAACGCCACAGTACTCCCCCCCCCCCAAGTACCATCGGTACGTTATAAGTACTTTGGGTTAAATTTAACCTTTCTTCCAGATCTGGTAGTTTTAGGTTGCTCTTTAACGGGATGTAAGCTGTCTTCCGGGAGTGATGTTGATGAGGAAGTTGTTGGATCTTGCTTTAGAAATGCTGGTTTGAGACGATCGATTCCAATCACTGATTGTTTGCCATTGCAGATGATGGTGAAATGTTTCGGTGTTCGTTTGACAACTTTGAATGGACCATCATATGAAGGTGTTAAAGTTGGCTTAATTGCATCGTTGCGCACGAATACGTGCGAAGATGTCTCAAGCGCAGGATGTACAAAATAGCTTGGCTGGTTATGCGAAGATGCTGGGGTTGGCGAGATATTGCTCATGGTCTCACGTAAACGTTGAAGGAATGTTGGAGGGTCGATAACTCGAGTAGATTCTGGGTGAAAGAATTCACCTGGCAGACGGAGGGTTGCACCATATAACAGTTCAGCACAAGTGCTACCAATATCTTCTTTGAATGCTGGGCGAAGACCAAGCAAGACTAGGGGTAAGGCTTCTGTCCAGTGT